CAGTTACAGTCGATAGAAAAACCTGAACGTAAATAACATTTTGCGAAGTGTAATTTACAGTTTGCTAAACGTACTTTACGCTTAACGCCAATACGATGACGGATGGCTTTTTTCCGTCATGAAAACCGGAATTTAGGGTTCAAAAAGGCGGATTTTGCGGTCAAAATAAAAACGTAAATTATGCCCAAAAAGCGCCTTTGACGTATCACTAAGTAATTTACAAAAAAAAGACCGCATTTTACGCTTGAAGTAACTTTTTTTTCTTTGTCGTTAATTATGGTTAAGTAAACGTTAAATGCGGAAAAATCATCGTAATTTACGAAGATAAAATCGTACATTACGTTCATATAATCGTAATTTACGACGATCTTGAGTATAATTTACGCTTCAACTTCAAGCGTAAAATAAGGCGACTTCTTAAACATAATTTACGTTCAGGTTTTGCTTCCTACACGGAGAGAAATTTTTGATAAAAATTATCCTACCTTCTATAAAAGTCTATCATGAGTCATTGTTTCCTCATTTTTTCCACATTGTTTTCAAAATTTTTTTTTTTTTTTTTTTTTTTTATGCTTATTTTATATCGCTTCGAGTCTGAGACTATATGGCGATTGATCAAGACTTTAAAAATGGTTAGATCTCACCATTCTACCCGGCCAGGAATCGAACCTGGAACCTATCCGTTGTGAGGCAACGGCCTTAACCACTACGCCAGGCCACCGGGGTAGTCAAAATTTTCTTAAAGAATCAATCGAATTCCATGAATTTTTTCATGAATATAGACTTTAATAAGCTCTATTCATTGATACCAATTAACATTCAGCTTTTCATACAAATTCGAAAAAATTTATATTTTTCCAAAAATCTATTTCCTAATGATCATTTTTAAAATTTTCATCAAAATGTAATTAGTCATGGCTCAAAAAATTGATAACAATACCCTCTTCAGAGAAATCATTGGGCAAACTTTTTCCCAGCTACGCAGACACGCGCATATGCTTCTAAAAACGTCATAGAAAATTTCCAGAGGTCCTGAAACGTGAAGATATGAACTTTCCGCTTTCAATTTTCGGAACCATTACAATCACTACCCGATATAAATCGGTACGATAAAAATAGTGAATCCACCCAACAAAAATAATAAAAAAAAACTTTCTTTAATCCACCGCTGCCATCATCACTCATCGAATAATTCGATAGTGACAATGAAGGGTTGACTAGGCAAAAACGATCGGGTGTAAGTTTATCGGTGGAAAGTCGATTTCCCGTTGGGTCATGTTGTTTAGAAATAGCACCACTGTAGACGAGAATAACAGTATTGTCGTATATATGGATTACATAAAATTGTCCGGAACCGAAGCAAGATTGATAAGTTGATGCATCAATGTCTGATGCCGAGGTAGACGTCGCCTTTTCCTGTCCAATATCAGTCACCGTTATGTAGGCCAACAATAAATACATAATCGTGCGGTTCGATTTGCGCGCATGGACTAACCCCCAGTATTATATTGATCCTGGCATATTTATTATTTATAATGTGGGTATCATGTGAACATTACATTCTCGAGTGAGGTGACTTTGGAATGGGTAAAGTACACAGGTGCCAGACCCTTCATCCCCCCCTCCTCCCTCCCCCTCCCGATCCCCCCCTTCTACTCCAGCCTGTCAAAGGTGCTGATCACGTTTTCGGTAAATGGATTATCGTGTTTAGCAGCTGAGGGTTATGGTGACGTGGAAGAGGTGGATTTTGCTTCCAAATGGAAGCAAAAAACATTGTATTCGTCAAATCTGAAATTTCCATTTTTGTGTCGGGATCAGGGATGCGAAATGACGTTGCGTTTTGAAATCTGTCAGGTCACAAAAATATGACGGTCATGTGACATCACGTTTTTTCATGCCACCATGTGGGTCACACTGTCGACACACATATGATGATCAACTAGTTAGATGTAATGTGACCATCATAAATTGTTCTGTTACAAAATCTTGTCACAAATTTTCAAATTGCAACGATCTTTCGGTGCAAGGGTTTACTTGCCAATTGAGGATGCGCAATGACGTCGCGTTTAGAAATCTGTCAAGTCACAAAAATGTGACCGTTATGTGACGTCACATGTTTTCATGTCATCATGTTGGTCACACTGTCGACTCGCATATAATGTCACCGTCATAAATTGTTCTGTTACAAAATCTTGTCACAAATTTTCAAATTACAACGGTTTTTCGGTGCGAGGGTTTACTTGCCAACACGCCCATCGCCTGAAAGCCTTTAAGGCAGAGAATGTTGAATGTGGAGTGAATTTTTCGGTTGAAAATTTCCGTAGAGTATCGGGTTTCAAAATTGTGTGTAATTTTCAGATCAATATCATGTCAGAAATTGGTGCGAAATAATTTATTTTATTCATTGATCTCAACTGTTCGACCATTCCCAGTGAGAAAAATGACACTTAGTCAATAAACTCACCACTGATTTTTCTTTTTTAACTGAAATACGTCTGACACGCAGGTTGACGGTTTGTAATTGTCCACCCATGGAGGTAATCATGGGAAATTTTCGAATTTGGAACTAGGTGCCGCCACCTGGTGTGCCACTACTTAAATGGGTTGTGACGGTTACAAGGTAAAACAGTCACGTTTGTGTCATTTGACAATAAATTGCCATGATTGGCCGTGTCACATGACCCTCACTGGCGTGTCATCTCATTTTTTCGCATTCCTGGCCCTTGGGACAATGTTGGATGTCAACGTCAAGGTAATGTTGGCAGCCAAGGTTGGGGTAATGTTGGCCGCCAACGTTAAGGTAATGTTGGCTACCTAAATTCAATGAATCATTGACTTCAATTTGAAATACATCGTAGAAATAGTAATTTTGTTCAGAAGCAAATCGCTAATTTATTAGTAAAAATATATTCACTATATTGTGACGAAAGTAATTTTTCACTTGTTTCCAGATTTCCACAGAAAAAAGTAATATCTGAATTATCAATTTTCCTCTCCTTGCCTCCGAAAAAATTACTACACGGCAGGGTAATTTGTCCATAAAAAATTCCTCGATGACTAGGAATTTTTCACTTTCGTTCGTTCCTCCGTCCCCCTCATCACCATATTCTCATATTTTATATTTATTTTTCTGGGCTTAATATACATAAATATAGTTTTCCCTACTGGTAAGCACCTTGTCAACAGTGTGAGGGGTGCGGGACAAATTAGCATTCATAAAGCTCGTGTATAAGACGCAATTTGAATAATTAATTAAACACAAACAAAACCATAAAACTGCTCATAATTTTTTTTAATTTCTTCCTCATCATTCTCGATTATTGTATCACACATTTAGTTCGCTAGCAATTTGTGGTATTTCCCTAAATTTACTGCGGAGATGCCTTGAAAATAAATTTTTATCTCGCATAATTAATTAAATAATCTGATTCTTGTTAGAAGCTTCTGGCTTCACTCCGGACATGAAAGTGTAAACATCAATTCTGCATAAATCTTTTGTGCATAATTTGCATCTGATTCTCTCCCTGTGTAAACCTACATAATCCCACGTACAATGAATATTAAAATTCTCCTCAGAAAAATTCATAACAGGTGCCTTCTCAGCAAAAAGTTGCATTTCAAAGGACGAAATTTGTTACCGGAAGATATAATTTAATCACAAAAAACTGTCTTCCCTAAATGAAGAAAAAAACTTCGTTGAAAATAAAGTCCTCAGAATATATTCTCGACACAATATTTCTCATGGAATTTGATGAATACATTGAGAGGAAAATTTCCCAATACGTAGACCATATTTACTTGAGAGAAGTAAATTATTTTCAACGGTTTAAATCTCAGAATGTTCGCTGTTGACGGAACTCAAATGACTTGTCATTTATCGCTATCAGTACCCGTGTAGAAAAATTTCTGTCTTTAGAAGGTCTTCTAGAAATCTTGGGAAGAATCTTCGAAAGATTATGTAGAAGATCTGCTTGGTGACCCAAAAAGATTCTTCAGAAGACAAAATCTTCTAAAGACAATTTTAATTTTCGATCCTTACTCCTTTGATCCTTACTTTTTTGACGCTCAAATTACTAAGCCCTGAATTTTGGACTTTGAAAATTTTGACCCTTAAAATTTTGTCTTCTGAAGAATCTTTTTGGGTCACCAAGCAGATCTTCTACATAATCTTTCGAAGATTCTTCCCAAGATTTCTAGAAGACCTTCTAAAGACAGAAATTTTTCTACACGGGTGCGCATTATATCATGAATATATTGCATATAAAAATATTGGGACTGTACAACAAAAAAATCATGAAAACAATAAATACTGGAAGATTAATGATTCTTCTACACGGAGAGAAATTTTTAATAAGAATTATCCTTGCATTCTATAATATAAAAGTGTATCATGAGTCCTCGTTTTCTCATTTCTATCCCAAAATTTAGTAAAAATTAATATATGATGAACAAATTTTATTCTACATTAGAGAAATTTTATCCTGACGCATAATAAATTTTAGTCTTCCAATCCAATAATTTTTATGGAGATAACAACGAAAATTCTAGAACGGTTGGTAAATTTTACCCTATCGGTACAGTCATTTTTACTCTACCGGCACGGTAATTTTTATTTTTATCAGGATAAAATTTCTCTAACGTAGAATAAAATTTGATCATCATATGTTAATTTTTACTAAATTTCGGGATAGAAATGAGGAAACGATATTTTTATCAACAATTTCTTTCCGTGTACGCGACTTGAGTGAGTTCATTTGTGACAAAATCATACTTGACTAAAAGAATATTTTAAAACATGAGTCGTTTCTTGGGCCACGTGAGTTGAGATGTCTGGGAAAATTAAACAATTGAAGAAAAATTACTTATCTCAAGAAAATCGGTTTCAGATATTCGAATTTTTTTCTCAGTGTAAATTTTTGGATGGATCTCTATATAATTCATGCACAATTGAAAATATTCATCATCAAAAACTTAATTTCCCTCGTGGTTTTTAATTACAGTGTATGCGGCATTCAACATTTCCAACGAGCCGGGCACCGGCATTTAAACTTGTTTCAAAGTACATATTTCGTGGTGGTAACATTTTCTACAGTAGGATATGGCGATTTTGTTCCAGACATTTGGCCCTCACAGCTCTACATGGTCTGCATGATATGCGTCGCGCTGATAGTGCTACCAACACAGGTGAGCCATTCGTCCTGATTAAACTGCTTTGTTTCAAAATTTTCTTGATGGGATTGCGGACGTCCTGTCTTCCTAGAATAGCTAGCATCTAGTCAGTGTCGGTAGATGGAGAAAGAATTCTATATTTTCTTGTAAAAACACAATAGGTCTGCGAAAATTTGGGGAAATTATTGTTTGAGAAAATAATCTCGAAAGACATTTTTTGCAATCCATAACATTTTCTGCCAAAACAATTGCGATGACATGTGAGAAAATGGCTTTAAAAACTATGGATGATCTATCATTGATCATTTCTGTTCTAAATCCTGCATTGTTTATTTTATTTTATTTCAATTTCCATTTCACAATGAGATTAATTTAATTTTATCCATTCCTATTCTTACCACATTTTTTTTCTTTAATTTACAAGTTACAACATAAAATCAAGAGGAATTATGCTAAAGATCAATACACTGTTAGAAATTTCTTGAAATTTCAATCACAATGTCATCTGAATTTTCAATGTTGTGAGTTTCAATTCAATTTCAAATGAATACGTTCACTAAATTTTTCATTCATCTTGAAAATTCACGAAAATTGGGTTTTTCATGTTGAAGAATCATTGATTTTTGAATGAAAGCTTGAATTTCCAAACTCATCGGGAAAATTGAACATAACATACAAATCAATTGTCAATAGATTGAAAATTCAGAGAAGTTATTGTCGGAATTTTCAAAATTTTCAAGGTTTTTCAGTGACGTATGGATCTGAAAATCGAGAATTACTTAAACATTTAAGAAATTAACTGCTTTGTCAATGAAGAATCTACAAAAATTTCATGTAACTTTGTCATTGTTAAAAAGTTCAAGCTTTTTCACTTGAAATTTCAAGAGTAATTTTCTAACAGTGTAAACAGTGTTTTTTATGATCAAAATAAACGCACAAAACAAAAGTAATTTGAAATCTCATTGGAGTAATAAAAAAATCTCTCCATGTATTCCTGAAAATTTTTAAAAAGGGATGATCAGTTTGAAAATCGGGAAAATATGTTTTTCTTCATTTCTGTCGGTGGAAACACAATCACTGTTTTTTCTTCGAATATGGGCGGGATATGAGAATTTCGCAATTTTATGATCAATTTGAATAACAAGAAATAAAAAAATTAATTTTTCACTGTCTCCGGAAAGTTTTAAAATCGATATATTTTCTCGAATAACGAAAAAATACCTATAAATTCGAGTTCTATCTCTATCTTCTGATAGAATGACTAGAATAAATGACAGAAATTGACAACTGGAGCCTACAAATTTTATCAGAGTATTATCATGTAATAACAAGGTGTTTATGCAAAAAACTGAAAAACCGCAGTATCTCGAAAACTTTGTATGAGCGGTTATACATATTTTGAGTGATCGAGATGAATAAAAAGTGGAATGAAAAAATCGAGACGAATATTTTGGAAAAAAAAATTGAATCGGGTCAATGGTTGATGAGATATTAAGGAAAAACCAAATTTCGATAAATGACTATATCTCAGAAACTACTGGACCGATTGACTTCAAATTGCACTCAAAAATTGCGCATTGATAGTACCTATTTTGATCTAAAATTGCAGATTTTTATGGATGAATTTCACGGTATTAATGTTATTTTTTCCAAAAAATAATCGACGAAAACTCAATCTGTCACATACAGACGTACAGACATTTTTTCGAAACATCATTTCTTTACGTTTTATAACATTCTACCTCATTTCCAGGCAAAATTAGAATATATGAAAATCGGTCAAATACAATGTTTCCATTCGGAAGCAATAATGTAATAAAAAAACATTGGCATGGTGCATTACAAAGTCAATATCTTGATCTAAACAGTCACGATGACAATACGAATCTGAACATACCGCAAATCCCAGTTGAGCTGGCAATTCCAAACGAAAATTTAATGAACTGAATGCGAATATACGTACCGACATCAAATCAACATTCCACCACCAAAATATAGAGTTTGGATCTCATTTAGGGTCATTTGTAATCACATAGAGCCACCTAAACCCCCGATTTTCTCGCAATTACTTGGCCCTCCCCCGGAATCGATGGGAGCAAGCTCCGCGTAAATAGCATTGCAGCTAAAATACTAGGTGACCCGTATATAGGCACTTTAGAAGCTCCTACTACGCTAATGAATGCTAAATTGGGATAGTGAACCCTCTCATAACGCAAAATCCGACATCACCCATTGGTAATCTGCATCTAGACTTCTATTTGAAGCGAGTAAGCCTCGAGAGTGAATGAGAATCAATCAACGAATCATTACTGCACTGATAGAAAGGATGGAAGAATGTAGTTGCTCTTGACGAGACCTCTTAACCATTAACGCCATGCGATATCTATTAACGAATGACATTAATTTTTAACATCCTCGTTAACAGCGACGCAATCCTTCTATCGGTGTATCATCATCAAGATCATCAATATACTTGGGATTATTGGATGGCTATTACCACCAATGGATGACCAGTTGTATCAGTCAATAGCCCTGACGATATTCTCGACCCTCCGCCAATGACAAAGGACTTGGGCACATAAAAATATTAATTCAAGTGTAGATATGACATTCAGTGGCAACACAGCAAAAACGAATTTCTGAATTTCACACACCTTTTGTAGGCATTTTTCAGACACTAAAAAACTTCTGAATAAAATGAGAATTTGTCTGAACTTCAAACACGGATTAAGAGTTGGGCTTCTGCTCGTCTGAAATTCAGACACGTTTTCACTTCATTCAGACGTCTTTTAGTGTCTGGAAAATGTCTACAAGAGGTGTGTGAAATTTAGACATTTGTTTTTCCTGTGAGACTAAAATAGAACAAAAAGTTCTTATTATTTATGTTGTGTGCTTACAATTTTTAAGCAACTACATGGAGAGAAAAATTCATAAAAAATTACCAGAAAAAAAACGTCAAAATTCCGTTTTGAAACGTAATCCGCGAGCGAAGTAAAATTCAATAAAAAGTGTGAGTCGAAACGGAAATTGTATGAATCGCCACGTAAATTCTACGATTTGTTCCGTAAAAATTCACCACCCGTCTGATGACTCACCGCTGTGGGGACAACAAGTCGTTCCGCAATTTTTCCCCAACGATTGCGAAATTTTACGGCATGGAACGTAGAAATAACTCACTACCTTCATAAAAATTGTTGAACGTTCAAGAATTTTTTATTTTGGAGGCATATTAATAATAAGTCGGCAAGTTTCTGTAAAATTTTGCTTCTTCGGGAAAAATGACGTGACAATTTCGTACTTTGTTCGGTGATGAACCTGAAAATTCACCGAACGTCTCAGATTTCTTCTCTTGCATTCCTATAAAAATTACCGAAAAACGTTTCCCCATTGCGGATTACGTGAATTGTTCCGTAATTTTTACTGAATATTTCTCTCCGTGTAGCGTACACTTTGTGAATCCAATGATTAAATTTACGATTTGATCAGATATCAACTCTTTCTAAAGCCAGCACACGTGCCCAATTCACATAGTAAAATCTCTCTAAATCCAAAAATTTAACGACCCCAATGACAACGTCGAAAGAAGAGACCAGAAGGACCGCAGGATTGGAAATAACGATATTGTAATCTCTCCTTTTTCTCCCACTGTCACCCTCAACTCGATCGATAAAGCCATAAATTCAGTCTTCGAAGGTAAACGATTAGGTTCAAACAGACGTAAAACCATTGTCCCCGCGATATCAATCATTCCGGGATATTAGTCCCGATTACATTCAGAAGCTCGGTCATTCATCACAATAAAAACCACGGGAAAGTGCTTTGACGTGGAGCTCAGTCAGTCATTGGACGGCACTTTTGTATTACTGATGAGTTGGTCGTGTGAAAAAGAATAGCTGACCGCCTCGTGCAATCTATCTGTCGCCAATGGTCAAACGAGACAGCTGTGCCAGTTTGCAACAGCTATTGACGGTTTACGGAGGAATGTGTCGTTAACCGGATTTATTGAATTCACGGGAATGACAGCGCAATGGTCCGTGTGTCGTCTGAACAAAAACTTTATTGATTTGAATGGCTAGAGTTCACTGGTATCATAAAGTCCATTGATAACATGGATCAAGTCGTAAGAACGATTAAAAAGCAGTCGGGGTATACTTTCTCAAAGTAAAAAAAGGGTCATGTTCAGAGAAAATTTACTTGAATCAAGTTGGAATTGACCTGAATCAAGTCGCAGAATCTACTTGATTTAAGTAGAACTCGATCTGAATCAAGTCATAGAATCTCCATGAATTCAGGTAGATCCGACCTAAATTAAGTCGTAGAACCCACTTAAATCAAGTATGACTTGACCTGAATTAAGTCATAGAATCTTCTTGATTCAAGTAGAACTCGGCCGGATTCAAGTCGCAGAATCAATTTAAATTATATTGGATTGGATCTAAATCAAGTCGCGGAGTCTACTTAAATCAAATATGACTCGATCTTAGTCAAGCTGCAGAATTTACCGGAATTAAGTGGGACTCGACCCGAATTACGTTACCGAATTTCCTTGATTCAAGTAGAACTCGACGTGACTGATCCCACAGAGTCAACTTGAGTCAAGTTGCAGAATTTGCTGGATTTAAGTAGGACTCGACCTGAATTAAGTCGCAGAATTTCCTTTATTCAAACAAAACCCTACCTGACTCAACTCGCAGAATCAACTTGAGTCAAGTTGCATCTGAATTGAATCAAGTCGCGGAATCTAGTTGAATTAAATTGGATTTGACCTGAATCAAGTCGTAGAATCCTCTTGAATCAAGTGAGACTCAATCTAAATCAAGTAGCAAAAACTACTTAAACCCGATCAAGTTAAACCCGACTTGAATTAAGTCGAATTGAGTCGAATCCGATCTTGACATTTTTGTTAACAATTAACTTCCGCAGAAACCAATTATTCTCATCATCTCTTTGCAAACAGTTCGAACAACTAGCATTTACATGGATGGAGCGCCAAAAACTCGGTGGTTCATATTCATCGCATCGTGCCCAGAGCGAGAAACATGTCGTAGTATGCAGTACAACACTCCAAGCGGACACTATAATGGACTTTCTAAACGAGTTTTATGCCCATCCCCTGCTACAAGTAAAGTCAATTTTATCGTTCATTAAGTTGAAACAATATTCCCAACCAATTTACCTCCTGCGTTTTCCCTTGCGAAAACAATTTCACTCGGGGAGTATTTCTAAATTCACTTAGGATTACTACGTTGTACTGCTGTCACCCATGGAATTGGATACAACAATGAGGATGATACTTCAAGTACCAATTTGGGCACAGAGGGTTATTTACATACAGGGTTCGTGCTTGAAGGACGGTGACCTTGCTAGGGCTAGGATGAACGAGGCTGAAGCCTGTTTTGTCCTGGCGGCGAGGAATTATGCTGACAAAACTGCCGCTGATGAGCATACAATCCTCAGGTAACTGGATATAATTACGGCAGTATTTTTTAGATGTACCGAACGAAATTATTCCAATAATTAAAATTTTTTTTTCACTGATATCTGAATGAAAAGTTCACTTTTCGGAACGGTTCAGCGGGCGTGAAGTAGTGATGCCGTCAAGACTAGACGAGAATTATTTTGGAAAGATCATCACGGTCTAAAAAAACATCAAAAGTTTAGGAATCGTCGTAATCTCGAAAGACATTGGATCGGTGCATCTCGTCATGAACTTGGAAGAATCCATCACGTCTGAGTTTCAGTATTTTCTGTTTTTCAAATGTTTGTCTCGACATCTGTCTCGTCTCGGATCGTGAACTTAAAAAAACAAAAATCTCGAGATCCAGGTAAGATAAATGCTCCCGGAATGATGACGAGATGCACCGATCCAATGTCTTTCGCTATTGCAACGATTCCAAAACTTTCGATGTTTTTCCAGACCGTGATGATCTCTTCAAAATAATTCTCGACTAGTCTCGACGGAATCACTAGCGTGAAGTTTACAGCCCGTGCGTAAAGTAAATTTTCGTGTCTAAAGCTTTGCACGATTAACTTTACACACGACCTTGAACTTTACGCACACTAAACCGCTTTGAAAGGTGCACTTCTCGGACAGATATCACGAAAAGTATAGTTTATTTCGATATAAGTGCGTTAATAGTATATTTCATCACTCGTGTGTAAAGTAAAATTTTACACACAAGTGATGAAAAATAGGGTTCGATACTTGTGGAGAAAGTGTTCTATGACCCTTGGAAGGGTAGCACTTGCCTTCGGCAAACAAATTACAAATTGAATTAGGTAAAAAAATATTGGGCTGATCAAGCTAAAAATAGACTACTGAAATTGCAATTTAACCAATGATGTGAGAGGATAAGATTAATCCGACGACGCAAAACCATCAACAAAATTACAGATCATGGGCTGTGAAGGATTTTGCTCCAAATGTACCTCAGTACGTACAGATTTTCCGTCCTGAGAACAAGCTTCACGTTAAATTTGCTGAGCACGTCGTATGCGAGGATGAGTTCAAATATGCACTTTTGGCTAACAATTGCACTTGTCCTGGTGCATCAACGCTAGTTACGTTACTTCTGCATACATCACGTGGACAGTTAGTACTCTTATAGCATTTGAAATTCTCAAGTCCACAAATTTAATAATTCGCCATTCATGTTAATCCTGCGTTATGTTTCCTTGAAAATGCCAGAGAGGGACAACAGTCGCAGGAGGAGTGGCATCGGCTTTATGGCAAGTGCTCGGGAAATGAGATATACCACATAACTCTGGGTGATTCGAGATTTTTCGGAGAGTATGAGGGAAAATCGTTTACGTATGCGTCGTTTCATTCTCATCGGAAATATGGAGTTGCTCTTGTGGCTGTCAGACCAGCGGAACTGCCGGAATTTTATGAGGATACTATTCTACTTAATCCGGGTAATGAACAAGTTATTTTGACGATTGATTTAGCGAGCGATAGAAATTTAATCGTAAAGTGGTGAAGACGCTTGTATTTAAGGTGTATCCCAAGACAATCGGGCCGAAAAGTCAGTCCCTATAAATTTTTTCCGGAAAAAAATTTAAATAATTTAATTTATTACATTCTCATAAGTTATTGAGTTTTTCCATTCTCATGTGTTGTTGATGCAGACACCAAATTAAAATTATTTGTTGATTAATTTTTTGAATCAAATAAGGAATGCTTATTTGAACGCGCAAGCAGGGAGCGTAGTTCCCTAGTTAATTAGGAAATTCCTTGAAATTTTAGTGGAACTAAGATGTGATGAAATTTATTTTGACAATTGATTTAGCGTGCGGTGTAAATTTAATCATAAAGTGATGAAGACGATTGTATTTAAGGCATATGCCAAGACAATCGGACCCAAAAGTTAGTCCCTATGAATTTTTTCCGGAAAAAAATGTAACTAACTTAATTTATTGCATTCTCATAAGTTATTGAGTTTTTCCATTCTCATGTGGTGTTGATGCAGGCAACACAGTAAAATTATTTGTTGATTAATTTTTTTAATCAAATAAGGAATGCTTATTTGAATGCGCAAGCAGTGAAACTAAAATGTGAGAAAAATTTCCAAGAAGTGTGTGAAATCTCAGGCAAAAATTTTCAACAGTGTGATGAAAAATATTAAAATGAATAATAATAATGAAAAATTCTCAGGTCCCCGTCACATAATGAAGAAAACAGACACATGCTACTACATGAGCATAACGAAGGAGGAGAACTCAGCGTTTGTGGTGGCGAACAATCAAGATAAACTGTCAGATCCCTCCCAAGTAGTAGTGGACAACAAGGGGGACACATCAACAACCCAAGGGGGAACAACGTCGGGACCAGGCACAGGGGCCACTACCTTGACGACACCAACGACACTGTCAGCGACACTTGCAGCAGCTGGATCAGGAGGGAACGGTACAATTGGAATAGGTGCTAGCCAGCATCGAAGATATTCTAATGGTTTTAAATCGTCGTACGATACGCCACGTGAGGCGGGTGAACCGGTGTCTCCGGGCAAACCACGTATACATGTACCACCGCCCGGAGCACCGCCGCCGCCTCAGGTTATTTTGCAGGTCCTCCCTAGCACGCCCACACTCCAACACCACAACCTACTCGCATCCGATGTCCACCGTGAGTGTCGCATGCGCCTGTGCTTTTTTCGTGTTTTTTTTTTCATCATTTATCTGGTTAATTTATCCATCTTTGATAAAAGTATGTGTAAACATCGTGCATTTTGCATTTCCGAAGGATTGAGAAGTCATCGAGAAAGGTTTTTTATGTCTCCAATAGTCCAAATTTTCAAATGCCAGCGATCTTCGCATTAAATCGCGAAGTTCACATTTCGCATTAAATCGCGAAGTTTACACGTCGCATTAAATCGCGAAATTCACACTTCGCATTAAATCGCGAAGTTCACAATTCGCTTTAAATTGCGAAACTCATACTTTGCTTTAAATCGCGAAGTTCACAATTCGCGTTAAATCGCGAAACTCTCACTTTGCTTTAAATCGCGAAACTCTCACTTTGCTTTAAATCGCGAAGTTCACACTTCGCGTTAAATCGCGAAGTTCAGACTTCGCGTTAAATCGCGAAGTTGACACTTCACATTAAATCGCGAAGTTTATACTTCGAGTTAAATCGTGAGGTTGACACTTTACATTAAATCGCGAAGTTTATACTTCGAGTGAAATCGCGAAGTTCACTCGTCGCGTTAAGTCGCGAAGTTCACACTACGTCGCGTTAAGTCGCGAATGTTCACACTTCGCGTTAAATTGCGAATGCTCACACTTCGCATTAAATCGCGAAGTTTACACTTCGCGTTAAATCGCGATGTTAGCATCGTCGTGAGAAGTGCTAGTTAAGTAGAGAAAATTGGAGAAAATTTGAAGATTATTGAAAACTACAAACAATTTCCAGAAAACTCGATTACATTCGGAATCTTATTTTTTTCAATTTAAGAAATTTTTGGATTTTCGAGAAAAAAATATTGAAAAATCAGTATTTAATCCAGCGTCTTATGTTAAAATCATTATTTCCAGTATGATTAAAGACTAAAATCTCATTTTTTTCCCCTTAGATGTCAAAAAATTGGGAAATTTATTTGTAAGCAAGTTCCATTATTTATTCATGATAATAATGATTATTTACTCTGAAATTCTCGATAAATAATATTATTATGTGATGTTGGATATATTGATGACTTTTCAATAGTTTTCGAGATATTTTAATGAAGAATGTCAGATAATTGCATGCACTGTATGCCCTCCGAAGGCAGTACTCGACTGCGCAATGCGGTTGTGTTACATGAGATTTTTCAGAATTCACTCTACCACAAAAATTCAATACCGAGAGCTGAGATGTTTGCACATAAACATTTCATATTTTTATTTATTTATTCATTTATCAAGGGGAGACCGCGGCGAAATTTGAAAGTTGCAGGGGTTCTCTCTATTATGCAGATGACTTCTTCCTTATTTTTGAGAAAAAAATTAAGTTTAAATTTTTTCCAATGACGGCATGTGGCTGTACAGGCACAAAATCTCTAAAATTGCCCCGTCACCACAATTTTTGAGGGATTAACTTGAATTTTGGTTTCCACGCATAATATATTGACAAAAAAAACTATGAGTTTTTTTTTTATTTAAATTTTTCGATTTTTTCAATTTTTTTTGAGAATTAACAGACACAATCTTTCAATGAAAAAAATTAACAATCAATTTGTTTTTCTTTTGAGTATAACAAATGAGTATGGAAATCATGAGCAAGGTGAGGACAGTCCCCGGCAACTTTCGAATTCCTGCGTGGTCTTCCTTTAAGGTATATCCGAAAACAGTCGGACCCAAAAGTTAGTCCCCATGGATTTCCAGAAAAAAATCAAATTCACCTAATTTATTTAATTCTCATAAGGTATTGAGTTTTTCTATTCTCATGCGTTGTTGATGCAGGCAACAATAATGCCTGCTTGAATCAAATAAGACATTATGTCTCAATTATTTTTTTGAATCAAATAAGGAATGCTTTCACAAAATTTCCATTTTTTCGAGTTGAATATCGCAGAAACTATGCCTCGTGGCTCAGAAGCTCGCATTTTATTATTAATTATTTCCTAAACTGTGTAGTACAGCTAGTTCGAATTTTTTCAACAGCTGGGGACTATTATAGACATTATCTATGAAAAACATGGGGACAGTCTTAAGAAAAATGTATTTTCTGGGGATATACCTTAAGGAGATCTAGGAAGTTGAGAGACACGTCCTTCGAGGTGAATCGAGTACCTCACAAAGCTCAGTTAAAAATTATACAACAACTATTTCAATGACAAATAACCCTAGCAATTGTTGAATCCATCAACTAAATTAATAAAAAATTTATCAAACAAAAAAACTCCCCTAGATCTCAAATTTTCCTCATCACATCACTTATTAATTTAATTGCGCTTACAGGCTCGCTGTCTACAATTTCAAATACTGGAATAAACTCACGAAAGGGTCTGAATAATTGAAAACGGTTTATGAATAATAGAAAGAAAATATTGTAATGGTGCATGAAGCTTTCAAGTTTCTAGCGACATGTGTTCTATGTGCTGTGAAGGTACACGCTTTTACAACTGATTGTGAGGATAAAGTACTCCATACGATGGAACCCATAGAAATCTAATAAAACCGTGTAAATTGGTTCTACAGTTGGCCAACAAAAAAAAATAGCAAACAAGATCGGATGGAGAGAAATAAAAATCGATTCGTCGATTTCTTTTCGATCGGACTAGTTTCCGTGAATTCATTCTCAAGTTTCTCATTGGCCTCTCCTCAACTGATTTCTATTGGTCTTTCCGTCGATGGCGTTTAGTGTTGTTGAGTGAAATTTTCAGATAATTAGGCAGCATTAAATCGTCAATACACTAGCTTTAATTGAATTTGTATGTGTATGTGAAATTTCTTATCAGAAATTGAATCACTGCCGTTGAAAAGTCATGCTGAATTCGTTTTTGTCGCTTGGAGCGTTCGATGTAAACAAATACCACTTTATCCCTGCCCTCGATACTCCACCCCCTCGTGGGTGCAGTTCAATTGATAAATCATTTCGAATGACTCAATGAGATAATGTAGAAATAGCAACTTTCCTTTCAAAAGGAAGCAATTTATACTTCTAAAAATTCATTTAGTTCAGAAAATGTATGTCGCAAACGGAGGATTTGACTTATGAAACCACGAAATTCCACCGAGTTACGAGTTGAAAGTTGTTTGAACGAATTATCATTTAAGACTTTTTGTGTTGTTACGATTCTAGCAACTACGTACCTGGATCCAGCCAATTTAACGGATTCGAGACAATGTTTGAGGGACTCTGGATCAAGCCCTCAAACACCAATCACAGGGAATCATCTGGATGTGCCACGCTCAATGGATACTAATCCAAATTTACTGAGTCCAGAGATATTGATGCAAAGACGAGGTTTGAATGACGTTAAAACGGCTATAAATAAATGAAAAAGTTGATTCATTACTTCAAAGAGATTTTCATTGCAAAAGATTTTTTTTTTGCCTTTTTCACTCGAAAAAACAATTTTTCATCCACTTTTGTTCTGTTTAATTAAATTATTGATCGTTGATTGATCGTCAGTTGATCAATCGCTGATCAATCAATTGAAAATTCATGGCCAGAGATCAATAATGATCGATAATTGATTGTAGTTTCATGTTGCTATTGCGATTCAATAATTGATTGTTGATCAATTAATGATCAATTATTGAATCGCCATATCAACATGAAGCTAGAATCAATTATCGATCATTATGGATCTCTGGATATGAATTTTCAACTGATTAATCAGCGATTGATCAACTGACAATCAATCAATGATCAATAATTCGTCATTGATCAATTATAGAATTGTTGATCATAGATAATCCGTCAGTTAATTATTTTTTGTTAACCACATCAATTCAATCTCTTATTGATCCATGAATTGAAGGCATAATTTTTATAGGATCAATCCACACTTGAAGTACTAACCATTAATATCGAACAAATGATTAATCAATAGTATCGCAACTTTTTCCCAATCATCGGAGAACAATCAACGACTCACTAATCAATGAGCGACGAACACTTGATAGAATATTAATAAATCATTCTATATCGATTTCCGGAACAACCAAGATTTATGATCAATCAAGTACCGATCAATGTGATTAATCATCGTGACAACATTCATTTCATATCAAGTTTTACGTTGAATTCATAATTCACCATTGATCAATAATTATCGTTAAATTATAAATTACACTATAAAATCGACACTTAATTATTTTCAAGCCACGAACAATCACGATTGATCAGTCGGAATTATAAATTGTTCCCTAAATTAGACAACTGATCAATTCAATTAGTAGTTGATAGATTGATCGACAACTGATGACAACGATCAATCGGTTGATAATTTTCTTTCCTTCTTCATTGCGCAGGTAGCAGAAGACCTAGTATACTCCCCGTGCCGGATATGTTAACAAGTTCAACGTTACATTTACCTGGTCAGGAGTCCCTAGACCATGAGGCGGATGAGTCCGAGGACGAGATGGATGACGACGTTCCCTGGAGATCACCCAGTGAAAAAATAGCGTAAGTCATTTTCATAACTTTCATTGTCCCTTTTACTCTCTCCTTATTCTCTGTCTTTTTCTATCTCTCTGTCTCTCTCGAATTTTCTTACTCTTTTTAATTCGCAAATACTCGAGAGCATAGAGCACTGAATGCTTAATTTTGCAACCCCTGAATATTTTGCACTATAAGATTCTCCCATTTGACGTGTGACGAGTGAGTTTTGTGAAATTAGTTTAATCTCATTGTGATAATTGGCTGTCTCAGGGGGACCAAATTTTGGATTGATAGTGAGTAAAAGCATCATGATTTAGTTGAGAAAAAGTGTTTAGATATGAGAACTAAAAAGTTGAGAACGTGGAGGAAAGGATAAATTCGTTTTATGTCGTAGCTACACCAATACATCATGATTGTTTATCACAACACACTAGTAAAGTATATGTTGATATTGAAAAAGATCTGGGAAATTTTTTGAAAAAATTCCCAGTGATGTAGCTTACTCAGATACTTCTTCTCTGAATTTTTCAATTTTTTTCATTATTTTGACTTTCCATATGAAACACCTTAACAGCTATTCCAGAAAGTTCTTCACGATTCCACATTTCATTTTTAATGTTTATCAGAAGAAAAAAAACGATGTTTTAGTACTGGATTTTTCCACAGACTTAATTACAAAATTTATTGATTATTTAGTGTTCTTCTAGAATTAATGGATTGATTGCTATAAAAATGAATTAATTTTATAATTGCATATTTACTTAATTGATGGAAACAAGTTTAAAATTATTAATTGACGGTCAATGTTTATCCCTATTAAATGTCTGTCAACGTGATGTCGTTGCACTGCCAAAAAAAAAATGATGCTGTTCAACCCTGCCTGATTCAACCTTAAAAAAAATATATAAAAATAAAATCCTCAAATGGATGTGTGTTTCGATGTCTCTTCCCTATCGCATCGCACTTTGTGCACACTCTGCCTTTGCTGCACTCCACGCCTCGAATGATTTAACGAGTCTCCACAGCTTCAAGGGGTGAGTTGAGTGCACTACGGTGCAATTATATTTTTTCAAACTCACTTATCAACTTCAATCATGGCACTTTATTTTTATAAGTTAGCTTAGAAACTCCTACTTCTCTCGTACAAATTTATTACTTCATCATTTATAATCAATTTCATAATTACAATAACTTAATTAACAGAGTATAATGAACGCAACGCCTTATCGTCTGCTTACGTACAATTTTTGTTTATTGTTTCATAAATTAAATGACTGTACTCATCTCAATAAATAGTCAGTATTTGGGGGCAGTTGAACGCTTTCGCAGCAGAATACATATGTATTGAAAAATTCGATGAAGACAACTTGTTCACGATTGCCTTTAGAATCTGAATTGTTATTTATTTTATCACGGACTATTAATCACGAGGTGCCGGGATTGGGAGAACTAATTAAACACCAATTAACACAAACAATATTTAATTGCACAGCTCAAGTTGTAATTGCACAACTCAATCTGCTAAACACTTTAGGTACTAAATCAACGCGAATATAATTTCACTTACGGCGCTACGATTAACTGTCTCAGAGTTCAAAAGGTAACTGCCTAATTCGGCACGCTCACCAGCTGATCGGGCGATGACCGTGAATTTCAGGGCTCTACAGAAATTTAATTTTACAATTGATCGATGAAACTGATAATGGATTCATGAAACTCCCGAATGGCCAATAGAGTTGTTTAGTGATCCATAAAGATGATGATTGACGTCTAAAAGTCAGTATTGATGAATAAAATTGATCCCTTGATTGAAATTGATCAATGAAACTGTTAATTGCTGGATTGAATTAATCACTGATAAATGAAATTAATGATCGCTTGGAAAATTTGACAATCGACCAAACCCAAATTTGATTGATCAATTCTCAATTTCATGGCTCAATCGTCATCATTCTCGATCACTAGACATTTCTACTAATCAGTTTCATTAATGGCGATTGATCGAGATAGTGGTCAATTTCGGGGCTCGCGTGATTGCCTTCAAGTGTTAGCGCGGTTATTATTCGCAATCGCGAACACAAATCAGTAGATTTTCATTTTCCCATAAAATTTATTCTGTATGAGACTTTTCCTACAGAAATTTAATATTACAATTGATCAATGAAATTGATAATGAATTCACGAAACTCCCGAATGGTCAATAGAGTTGTTTAGTGACCCATAAAGATGATGATTGACGTATAAAAGTCAGTATTGATGCATGAAATTGATCCTTTAATCAATAAAACTATTAATTGCCGGATCGAATTAACCACTAATAAATGAAATTAGTGATTGCTTGGAAAATTTGACAATCGACCAAACCCAAATTTGATGGATCAATTCTCAATTTTATGGCTCAATCGTCATCATTCTCGATCACTAGACATTTCTACTAATCAGTTTCATTAATGGCGATTGATCGAGATAGTGGTCAATTTCGGGGCTCGCGTGATTGCCTTCAAGTGTTAGCGCGGTTATTATTCGCAATCGCGAACACAAATCAGTAGATTTTCATTTTCCCATAAAATTTATTCTGTATGAGACTTTTCCTACAGAAATTTAATATTACAATTGATCAATGAAATTGATAATGAATTCACGAAACTCCCGAATGGCCAATAGAGTTGTTTAGTGACCCATAAAGATGATGATTGACGTATAAAAGTCAGTATTGATGCATGAAATTGATCCTTTAATCAATAAAACTGTTAATTGCCGGATCGAATTAACCACTAATAAATGAAATTAGTGATTGCTTGGAAAATTTGACAATCGACCAAACCCAAATTTGATGGATCAATTCTCAATTTTATGGCTCAATCGTCATCATTCTCGATCACTAGACATTTCTACTAATCAGTTTCATTAATGGCGATTGATCGAGATAGTGGTCAATTTCGGGGCTCGCGTGATTGCCTTCAAGTGTTAGCGCGGTTATTAATCGTAATCGCGAACAGAAATCAGATTTTCATTTTCCCATAAAATTTATTCTGTATGAGACTTTTCATACAGAAATTTAATTTTACAATTGATCAATGAAATTGATAATGAATTCACGAAACTCCCAAATGGCGAATAGAGTTGTTTAGTGACCCATAAAGATGACGATTGATGTGTAAAAGTCAGTATTGATCAATGAAATTGATCATTCAATTAATGAAACTGTTAATTGCCGGATTGAATTGACCACTGACCATCAATGACCAAACCCAAATTTGATTGATCAATTCTTAATTTTATGGCTCCATCGTCTTCATTCTCGATCACTACACATTTCTACTAATCAGTTTCGTTAATGGCGATTGATCGAGATAGTCGTCAATTGATCAATCGTTAATTTCATTAATCAATTACAATTTTTTTGCATTGAATATTTTCCCAATCTAACTTCGCATTAGAATTCACGAAACTCTCAAATGGCCAATAGAGTTGTCTAGTGATCCATAAAAATGATGATTGACGTATAAAAGTCAGTGTTGATGAATGAAATTGATCCCTTAATCAATGAAACTGTTAATTGCTGGATCGAATTCCTTTATAAATGCGCTCTGATCATCCACCGAACTTTCCAATATGTGCAATTGCACACTTCATTCAAATAAATGTATTTCGTTGAACACATTAATTGCACTCCCCCCTCCCCTCGCTCTAAGCCACAAAGAAAGTATAGTCAGCCAATTCATTCTGAATCTGCGAGAGGCTCTTGGCCCTCGTCTCTGGTAAAAATACAATAACAAATAAAAGTCCAAGTGACCCGATAATCGTAAACGATAAAAACGCCACATACCATCCCTTCTTAAAATTGATCGTCTCGAAGATGGTTTGAGTGATCATGATAGCGAGATAGAACAAGGAGAAGCAGATGCTGATGGATATGGTTTTCATCTTGCTGGAGAAGACTTCAACTGTGAGAAGAGGAAGGATTGGGACGATACCTAGGGAGCACGAGGCGTAGTAAATGACGATGATGCCGAGGGTGACGAGTTTCTCGCTGGAGTAAAGCAGATGATTGTTGTTCGCTTGATAGAGAATAGCGTCGATGGCTAGGATAAGGCAACAGATGCTGGATCCACCGATGGAGAGCATCAGCAGAGGTTTCCGGCCGATTCTCTCGATCAGGAAGACGCAGACGCCGACTGAGATTAAATCGAGAGAGGCTAGTATTATCTTGGAAAATTTCGGGTAGACGTTGTCCAGGAAGTGTTTGATGTAGACGTCCATGGCGTAACAACCCACCAGTTGGCTGAGGCATAGGAGCAGCATGGTGATGGCTACTGGGACTCGACGGCTGATCGAGGTGAACGCGAGGTTCAGGACATTTTGGCCCCGCTGGAGCTCCTTCTCGCTGAAGTCGAAGAATTTTTCCATCGATCTGTATTCCAGTTCGACGTCTAGGACGTGTTGAGCACCGCGGAGTGCTTTCAGGGCGAGTTTGGCTTGTAGAGTCTGTAATCGGAGATTAGAGGCGGCTGAGGTGGGCTGGGTTGGACGACCGTGAGAGGTGTTTGAATCAATTTTCATTGATCTGGTTACACTATTGTGAAGAATATTTTGACATAAAAAAATTTCAATTCAACCGCGTATTTTTTGAAGTATGGAGGAAAAAAGATTTTCATGGATTGCTTTCTTATATAAAAAGGAGATGTCACATGTTTATTCCTAAATATCTGAAAGAGAAATCGCATGTATGATGATGATACTGATTGTGGGGATAATATTGATGTTGATTATTACCAACGGAGCATGTATTGATTCTCAATTGAAGTTTTCATGGATTTCGACGAATTTCTCAAAAAACTGAGAATCCGCACATTTTCTAAAAACATCACATCTTCACGTTCCATGACATTCCACGTAATTTCCAAGCGAAATTAGAAGATGGTTAAAATGGACGATGACAAAGCTTCCATTCGGAAGCAAAATTGAATAATTCAGTAACGAAGAGGTAAAACGGTTCAAGTCGACTCATCTCCCAGTTGAGTTTTTGAGGAATATTTCCGAATCTCAGGGAGATAGTGAAATTTTCATAATTACATTTATTGTAGCTCTCAGTCGGCCCTACAAAAAAGGTTATTACAAAAATTTTACTATCTCCCTTAGATTCCGAGATATTCATTGAAAACTGGTCAATAGTCAAAATTGACTTGTACCATTTTGCCACTTCGCTACTCAATTGAAGCTTTGAAATTCTCACTTTTCCATTCTCGTACAAATAATACGGCGACTCAATCATCCAAATGTAGATCGTCAGTAGAAATCCAACCGATAAAAAAGAGATGAACAACGGCACCAACTGGTGATTGGTGAAGGAAGAGATACTCGTGCTGACAACCATACCGAGATAGGCAAAAAATGCAGCCAATGAGCCAACAGTACCACGCTGATCCGGGGATGATACTTCCCCAACGTACATCGTCGATGTTACAATGAACAATCCTGCGGAAAAGCCGCCAACAGCAGCACCGAACATCAGTGTCTGGAATAAAGAATAAAATAAAAATGAAGGGGATAACAAATGTTGGATGATAAGAGGGGTAGGTTGGAGGTGAAATGTTTTTCGCTCACGATGGTGTCTCTGGCTATTCCGAGAATGAGCCAGAAGAAAATACTCGCTATTGCTGATATACAGAAGTTGCAACGACGACCGGAAATATCAACGACAAAAGCTGGCACAATGGCACCCAAACATGATCCCAAATTAACGATCAGATGAATTGCTGAACTGCCATCTTGGGAGGGATCGTTGCACGATCCAGTGCACTTGATGATGTTGATGTCGTGGGTTATTGAGGTCTCCCGCCAGCCGAGGGTCAGACCGACGGATGCTGCACCCAGACAGACTGCAAAATTGAATTATCTATTAGGGGAGAGTGCGGTAAAACGGCCCCTTTTGATTTTTCCAAAAATGTTAACAGCTCATTTAATTTTAAATAAAATGAAATAATTTTTTTTTCGTGGAAAGTACCCTTCTTCCCCTTTAGAATGAGCCTAGCCTGATCTCAATTAATGAATTTGTTTCTGAGTTATAAGTATTACAAAAAAAGTCAAAAGGGACCGTTTTACCCCACTCTCCCTTATGTGAATTAGTGTAATGATTCCAAACGTTTCTGGCTGGACGAGAAATGTTTGCAGAGTACACTGAGAGAAACAGCGTTTTTTGAGAAGTAGAGGAGTGTGGGGCAAAATAAAAAAGTCAAAAAACGACTGACACAATTCAGGCAAAAAAAAATTTTTTTATCAACTTTTTTTATTCTTGGGAGTAGTGATGAGAATAATAATTTTCCATTCAGATGAATGGAAAATTATTGAGGAGTTTTGACGGGCGAAGATTTTGTCAATGGATTATTTGATTGAAATTCAGCATCATATTTTCCTTTTTCCCTCTCTGGGTCTCTCCCTGGGCCTTGCTCTGGACTTTGGATTTAGCTGGTTCATTTTCTTTTCAATTAATCCATTGACAAAATCTTCGCCCATCAAAACTTCTCAATAATTTTCCATTCTACTGAATAAAACATTATTATTTTCATCACTACTCCGAAGAATAAAAAAAAGTTGACAAAAAAAATAATTAATAAAAAATTTTTTTGTTTTGCTTCAATTGAGTCAAACAGTCGTTTTTTTGACTATTTCATTTTGCCCCACTCTCTCCTACGTCTTTACTTATATCAAGAAACTCGTGGCTTAAAAATTTTCAAAAGCAAAATATTTTGCGCTAAGAAAAAAAAAACTTCCGTCAAGAAATTTTGTATCTGTCCTAAAGACGAGGCCAATTTCTTGATGACAAGAAAGCGATTTTTCAATCAAGTATAATTGAATTAATTCTTTTAATAGGTTTTTCCCCTACTTCTCAATTATTTTGATGCAAAAACCACTTAAATTGATTTAAGAACTGGTTCTCTTGATATGTATAAAATTTCTTGCCTTAAAATTTGTTTTTCTTAGTGGGAGATATTATGCGCTTGGTAATTTTCGACACATGAATTTCTTGATACAAGTAAAGATGTCAATCAAAACAACTACACCCGTTCATTTACGAGATATTCCCGTTAAAAATAAATTAAAAATTAACACCTACAATTTTCCGTGGCTGACAACACAGCGAATAAATCTACTTACGAGATGCAAGATTCAAATTGAATTGGCGAGAGTTCGACTGTGGAATTTCCCCAACTTTCTCGCCCCCTAGCTCCTCGGAACTATTCCGTCGACAGCAGTGTTTGAAAAAATTCATGAATTGTTTATTCAAGTCACAATGAATTATTCATTCAGCATTTCGTCTGGCAAATAGGACGTTTCGATTTTCCGGAGAGTAATCGACTCGTGTGTCCCTTCATAACTGAACTGAATGTGGTTTTGTTACTCACCGATATCCTGACCATTACTCGTTATCAGTTTTAACCGCAAACATCGACTAATCTATGGCTAAATTATTAGCTGCTATCCATATGACGTAGCGGATGCTCGTAGCTCATGCATGACTCCTCAGTCTTTATTTTTTTCCGGTCCTTGGGGGCAATTGATATGAATTGTATTGGGGAATTATTTCGGGGATTCCTATGGGGGAGGTTCAATTTATTCTGTTGATTTCAGTATTGTCAAAGGATTTCCACCGGTGTCGCCGTTCATTGGAGTATCACCCACGCTGTGTTATTTATTGAAGGAGAAAAAACCATTGTGCTGTCTACAATTGGCTCAGGTTTGCTTACTTAATTGAAATTAGTATTTTTTGCTTCTGAATGAAAGCATTGTATTTGTCAAATCCGAAATTTCCTTTTTTTTTGGGTGAGGATAACTAATTTTGGTCTCAGGAGGTCGAATATAGTATTTTCAGACCGGACGTATGCGCGTGTGTATATGTGACCGATCGTTTTTCGAGGATGAGTGAAAAAATAATTATTTAAATTCATTCAGTTGTCAATTTAAATGTTCTTCTCAAAACCATTTTGACCAACTTCGATCACGAGATTGATCGCATCATCTGTTATTGAAATAATTCATTTTGAAATCAATATTCAGGGTAAAAACAAATGAACATTGGGATAATGTCGGCAACCAACGTTGAGGCAATATTGATTACCAACGTTAGGTCAATGTTGGGTGCCGACGTTGGTTGCCAACATTACCTCAACGTCGCGATGTTGGCTATCAACGTTGAGGTAATGTTGGTAACCAACGTTAGGGAAATATTGGTTACCAACGTTGGGGCAATGTTGGCTGCTAAAGTTGAGGTAATGTTGGCAACCAACGTTGGAGCAATATTGGTTACCAACGTCGGCGCGATGTTGGCTACCAACGTTGAGGTAATGTTGGTAACCAACGTTAGGAAAATATTGTTTACCAACGTTGGGGCAATGTTGGCTGCCAACGTTGGAGTAATATTGGCAACCAACGTTGAGGCAATATTGGCGTCAACGTTGGAGCAATGTTGGCTGCCAACATTGACGTGATATTGGCAACCAATGTTGGGGCAATATTGGTTAGCAACGTTGGGGCAATGTTGGCTACCAACATTGGGGCAATGTTGAATTCAATGAATCATCGAACTCAATTTAAAATCCAACTACATAGAAATTCCATTCGGAACCAAAACAATGGTTGTGACGAAAACCATTTTTCATTTATTTTATTTAACGAGTATGGGTTTTGAATTTGGAAGTGGAGTAAATGAAATTACTGAATTGATGAATTGAATGATTAATTGCTGTTAATTAAATTCCCTTTTTTTGTTTTTTACTCTTATATGTTTGAATTTACGTGGAATACGAAACAATCCTATTTTTATGTTATTTTTCACTCAATTTTTTTATTCTCTCCAATTCCTTTATCTCCCTGGAATAAGAGGCAATCATATATTTTTATGTTCCATCAAAAACATACGCAAATAAATATCTCTTTCTTCAGGTTTGTGAGCATTGCAGCTATAGAAATGCGAAAGAATACAATTGGCAGAACAAAACGATCATATTAGCAGCGGATTACGCGAGTAACGGAATATACAATTTCATCATCCCCCTGCGAGCTCACTTTAGGTAAGTCAAATTGTTAATCTCAACAACTCAATCATCCCTGGTGTTTCAAATGACGTTTTCCTCACACAGATCGAAAACTTCCCTTAACCCGATCATTCTTCTGCTGGAGAGAAGACCGGAAATTGCCTTTCTAGACGCCATCTCTTATTTTCCACTGGTATATTGGATGCTTGGATCGATTGACTGTCTCGACGACCTGCTTCGTGCTGGTATCACACTTGCCGAAAATGTCGTTGTTGTCAACAAGGAGTTGAGCAATTCCGCTGAAGAAGATACACTGGCTGATTGCAATACCATCGTCGCTGTTCAGACAATGTTCAAGTGAGTTTTCCGCTCTTATTTACGATTTTTCTTCTCTTTTCGTCGGCTATTGTGGAGTGGTAGAGAATAGCAAATAAATTGAAATATTAGTAGGGGTGGGTGGGGCAAAATGAAACGGGATTTGTTTCATCAACTTTTGTTTATTAACTTTTTTCATTATTGGGAATACTGATGAGAATAATAATTTTCTATTCGGTGGAGAAGAACATGCGGTGCGAAAAAATCATTGTTATTCGAAGCCCCTATACAGCGTAGTGACTATCCCCATAGATGAATCCCACTCCCCTGTTGGATCTCAATCTCAACGCCCACTAGTCAGGTTGTCCCCTGACTCGCCAGCAGCCAAACTATGACCTCGTCATCGCTGAGTCTATGTTCACTGTTAAAAATTTTCCTCTGAATTTTCCGTACCAAATTCTGGAAATTTTCCTCGTGTTCAAGGTCCACTGAAATTTTAGGAAATGTTGTCATTGAAAATTCTGAATTTCGTGGAAAAATCAAACAGAACTGTGAATTTTCGTTCCATTTTTCCCTGAAAATCAATACAACACCAGAAAATTCCGGTAAATATATTCTTGAATTTTCAGAACTGTGACATTGAATGCGATTTAGGGGGAAAAAATAATGAAATTTCAGATTTCACTAAAAATTCAATGTAATTTGACACTGAATATTCATATTAGATTGAAAATTCAAATAAATGAATGAATTCTCATCTTTAAGCCGCTTACAATTCTGGAATTTTACTGAATATTTAGTGAAACTTGAAATTTCATTATTTTTTCCCCCTAAATCGCATTCAGTGTCACTGTCCTGAAAATTAGTAGTCAACTGTTCATGAAATTTCATTTTTTTTATAGTGTTCGCTCCTCATTCGAAACTCCCAAAGGTTTTTCATATATTTCTTACATCGAGACAACAATATTAATCATTTTCACTAATTTTATCCGCAGTTCTCTTTTCAAGTAATATGAAACATTTCATGTATAATTCAATTGATTAGATTAGGGTGATTACACTTTTCTTTTTTCATTCCATTGAAATTCAGCATCACATTTTCCTTTTTCTCCCTCTGGGCCTTGCTCTGGACTTCAGATTTTACTTTCATTTTCTTTTCAATGAACCCGTTGACAAAATCTTCTCCCGTCGAAACTTCTCAATAATTTTCCATTCTACGGAATGAAAATTATTATTCTCATCAGTATTCCCAATAATAAAAAAAAGTTAACAAATTGTTTTTTCTAGTTGAATTCCGTCAAACACTTTCATTTTGCTCCACTCTCCACTAATAATTATTAGAGAAGGCTATTCTGTAATAATTATTAATAATTATTTACTTTAATAACTATCTTATCGTGAAAAAATTCTAAAATAATGTTGTTCTAGTTTTACCACAAACTGGAATTCTTGATTATCTATCGAGAACAAGACATAAAGCCCAAGCGTGATAATTTGTTCCTAGAAACGTGAATAATTAAAAATAAACATGCGGAAATGAATGTTCACCGATATGAATACTATCTTAAACTTCAAACAGAGTCATTAAATATTTAACAGAATAAAAAAATTGCGCCGGTTTTTTTTCCACACAATGGCCTGTGTGGTGAAATCCATAATTCAAAAATTGCTATTTTCGGCCGAGTAACCGAAATGATATTTCTCCACAATGTCCGCAAATGGCGTTTGACGGACTCGAACTGAAAATTCCGTCTCACTCGTATCGAAATATCCCATTTTACTAATTTTCAACTGCCGATTATTTTGACCCAAGCAAGAATTGTCTGAAAATTTGTTCCTTTTTCTCTCAGCGTGCCTACAATACAACCAATCTCTCTACTTCCCCTCAAAGGAATCCAAAATACCCCGCACATTCTCATTCCCAACGCACATTCTAACCAGACAACTGATGAAATTCCCGAATATTAATCAATGAATATTCAACAGATTCTTCCCCAGCATAAAGAGCATAACTGAGCTGTCGCAGTCGAGCAATATGAGATTCATGCAATTCCGGGCGCACGACAAGTACGCCCTACACCTCAGCAAAATGGAAAAGGTACTCCTCAGTGCTACTTCCGGTGACAACCATCCCGATGAGCCTCCCATGGGCTCCCCGGTAACACAATAACACTCACTCTGACCTCTGAATTCATTATCTGAATGACGATTAGATTGATCGATTGACTGTCACTACGAATGAATCCAATATCACGTGTCAGCTTGCTAACTATACCAAAGCCGTTGTACACTGAGAGAAATATCGTCATAATATCACAAAACTAATTTCATGCGCAAAATATCTCATCTCTTGAGGATAAATTTCTTGGGTTAAGAATTCCGGATAATGTGTCAGACAATGTCAGATTTCGGTGAAGTGTTCATGACTTGAACATGAATATTTCACGATAAAGTGAGAATTTCTTGCCCCAAGAAATCGGTTTTTTCGTGTCAGAAGATGAGAAAATGACTAAAAATATTAAAAGCTTCGATTCAGTGAATCATGAATCAGAGACTTTCATATTGAATGAATAGAGAGTTTATGCAGAGGAAAACTTCCAGATATTAAAAAAATATAATCGCTCTTCTTTTCCTTCTGTCAAACTATTCTTGTCTTTTAAGGAACATTATCTCATTTCGAAAAAGACATCACCTTTTCATTCAGTAACTTCCTCCTTAGCCCAAAGAGCATCGATTTCTTGTCTGAAATCTACCATAAATTGATCAAATGTATGCGATGTTTTTCCCTCAAGGAATGATTTTTGTGATATTATGCCAATTTTTCACTTAGTGTAATAATCAAGGTCACATTACACGCAGAAACACACATTGTGCACGAGCTTGCGTAGAGCACTAGTCAACGGGCCTTGATCAATGCATACTGAGAGGAAAATCGTCATAATATCACAAACTTATATTCTTCTGCTCATAAAGGAGAATATGCGAGGGGCTTCTCACTCCCGAAATCACGGCGCCACTCTGGCATGTAATCATTCCAAAATCACTTCGAGATCACATGAAATCATTCCGAAATCACGTGAAATCGTCTGAAATAAATGAAATCACCGAAGAAGTTGTGAAATGATTGTCTGTTGATTTTTTTTTATTATGAGAAGTAACTCAAAGAAAATGTTAGAATTAATACAAATAAATGTCTCGTTTATTAAATGTTTTAACTGAATAATTATGGTCAAAATGTACTGCCTGATGAAGAGAGAATAATTTCATTCCTTACATATAAATTCAAGTCATTGCATTACTCCGATGTAAATAAAAAAAGTACATCTCTTACCTCAAATTAACTTCACTCATTCAGCCACACAAAATTACAATTACACGTTTCAAATTTAGAACGAATCAGTACCGAAATGTTAAAACGGTACAAGTTCATTTTGATTATTGACCAGTTTTCAGAGAATACCTCGGAATCTAAAGGAGATAGCAACACTTTTGCTATAACATTTTTTGTAGAGCCGATTGAGTTCTACATCAAATGTAATCGCTAAAATTTCGCTATCTCCCTTAGATTCGGAAATATTCCTCAAAAATTCAACTGGGAGATAAGTCGACTTAAACAGTTTTACCATTTCGCTACTGAAATAATTATATAGGCAAGCAACCTTGTGTGCAAACTGGTTAAAATTTACAAATATACGACAATCGACAAATCAACATGGCTCAGACTACTTGAACTACTGTCAACTAAATTATACGATCTGTATTCGTTCACGTCCGAGTAACGAGAGAGAGAGAGCTCTTCCAGGTCATTACCAGTATGACAACCAATGTGATTGACCATTGTGCCTTATTTGCTTCTTTCAGGAAATATTTGATGGCGCGAAGGTAGAAAACAATAATTACAAGCTAATTTAGAAGAATTATATAAAAGAATTTAGCTAATTTACAAGATTCCTGCCATATCATTATTATTATTTCATTTAACAATTCATTTTGTGTCTGTGGATATTAAATAGCCGAAACGACAAACTACTATCCCTCGTTTCATATAAAACGAGCATTTGCCGGGAGCAAAATACGTATGAGAGCATCGAATAACGAGGAAGTAGTGCTAGAAATTCTGTTTCTTGCTTGTCCAGAGAAAATAATTTTTTTGAAATGACTAAATCAGTAGCGAAGTGGTAAAACGGTACAAGTCAATTTTCACTATTGACCAGTTTTCAATGAATATCTCGGAATCTAAGGGAGATAGCTAAATTTTTATTATAATCTTTTTTCTAGAACCGATTAAGAACTACAACAAATGTAGTAACGAAAATTTCGCTATCGCCCTTAGATTCGGAAATATTCCTCAAAAACTCAACTGGGAGATGAGTCGACTTAAACCGTTTTATCACTTCGCTACTGAAATCTATTTTTGCAATAACTATTTCGCATGTTTGGCACGAGTAAGACTTGTTTGAGACTTTTACTGTTTTTCTCTCAGTGTACATTCCTGGTGCGTACCATCAGACAAAAAACACACATGGAATGTTGGTGGATGGTTGCTGTGACATATATCTCGCGGAACGTATTAGAAATTAATATCGATAGGTACCTTTGCTTATTGGGATTCGTCTCGCTCTTTTTCCTCGATATAGGGTGAAAATCTCCACGATTACTTGACTTGTTCGATAATTTTTCTCCAATTTTTTCCGCCGTGTAGTCAATCAATTACTGAGGAAATTTGAGTACCTAACATTGGTTCAATCAACCTGCTCATTAATGAATTCTGTGATTATTGACGCCCTGAAAGTCGAATAGTCGATGACAAAACACTGATGAAGCTTCAATTTAACAGTTAATTAATCACAGAGCTAATTAGTCGAATTAATTACCCGGCGGTACTCAAATCCCTTCAATGATCATGAATTAACGATAAAAAGCATGGGATAGTCATTCTCCTCTTCTACGTCATGAAATTCAACAGTGAATTGGTGAAGCCGAAGTGCAACCAACTATTCTTTCAATATCTTCTGACCTAATGGGTTTATTTAGATTTTTCGGAGGGTTTTACCGAATTTCTTGACATTTTTTGCTGAAATCATTCCAGTACACGTATGAAAAAATCGTATAGAAATTTTCTATACGAATTGCGTATAGAATTTCTATAGGATTTTCGTATATGGTATTCGGATATTTCTATGCGGATATTTGTTATACAAATTATTTCTATACGATTTCTGTAGGTTTGATCTTATACAACCCCTTGCCACATGTATAGAAATATTTCGTATGGAATCGTGACATTTCTCTACGTTTTTCTATGGAGCGTTCAAACATCTTTCGTACGAAAACAAAAATTTATGTAAAAATTTATATATAGAAATAATTCGTATAGAAATATCCGAATATCATATACGGAAATTCTATAGAATTTCTATACGCAATCCGTATAGAAAATTTCTATACGATTTTTCCATATGTGTAGCAAAGCGGTAAAACGATCTAAGTCGACTTAGCTTTTAGCTAAGCTTTCGATGGATATCTCCGAATCTAAAGCAGATAGATGTATTTTCGTTATGACCTTTTTTGTAGATGTTAATCCGCGGTACTGAAAAGAGCGGAAGGGTTATTTGTCGTCAAACTAACTGGCGTCCAATTTGTTGATTATTGTGTCGAATTAAACTATAAATGAATTTTCTTGAGTCCTGGCAGCCCTTGGCCCAGGCCGCGCCGGGTGTAGGCCTTCAGCCAAGTTATATTTTGTATTCAAATTTATTAATTCATCCGAATTATTTATTTAAGAAAAGACATGTCTCAAAAGGCCTTTAATTCAATTGTTCTCAATTGGTGACCTTTTTGGTAAATGTTAATCCGCTCTATTCAAAAGGTTATAAGAAAAATTTGGCTATCTGCTTCAGATCCCGAGATATTCAGTCAAAATCGGCTTAAAGCATTTTACCACTTCGTTACTGATTCAGATAGTAGCAATTTAATGGCAAATTGGTGACAATCGATGGCAGAACAAAATCAACACAAAAAAATAGTACCTTATTTTAAGATTTCAAAGGTCTTAAAATAAGATTGACAAAAGTCTTAATTTGAAGCTTGAGATTCTTAAATTGAAAGTTTAGAAATTCTCAAGTTGAGACTTTTCAAGATTTCAATTTGAGACTCAAGTTGATACTTTTGAATGCCTCAAATTAAGACTTTCGGAACTCAACTTAAATTTTTTTTTGAGAATTTTTCTTTGTAAATACTGTTTTCTCAAAAAAAAATCGGAAATTTTGCAATGAGTTGATAAAAAATTCACGAAAATTCGTAGACAACGAATAAAAAATCCATAAGGTGAAAGTTCAAGTTTACCTCCAGTCCTTGACCACTTCACTGCAGATTGAATTCTCACCAAATGAATCAATGAACATGAAAAAATCTAGTGAATAAATATTTATACGAATGCATGCAATGTGTGCTAGATCTCACAGCACCTGCACTTTTAATGTTTCAATATTCTTACGAATCATACTAAAAAAAAGTGAGCTGAATTGTGTTCACACCCCAAGAGCCCAGCATTTCTCTGATAGAATATTCATCAAATAGTAAATGAAGAGGGATGGGAAAGAATCTGGGTGAAATGATTGATCAATGAAAAATGTTGTGCAGAGGGAGAAGGAGAGAGGCTCCCACATATCGTATATGTTCCGGCTGCCATTCGCCGCTGGTAGTGTCTTCAGTGCATCAATGCTGGACACACTTTTGTATCAAGCCTTTGTCAAGGACTATGTGATAACATTCGTCAGACTCCTGCTAGGTATTGACCAAGCACCGGGCTCTGGATTCCTGACCTCGGTATGTTCACACGTTATTTCTATATTTTTATTGCTGCATTTGCATTAGTGTGCAAACAAGCGAACGTCGGCCTTGTGTTGTGAAGCTGCGAATGGAAATGTGCGTTTCATTAAATCAATGAAAACGAAAGTAAGCAAATTACAGGACGAAAACTGATGCCTGAATTTCAGACATCTTCTGCGGATGTTTTTCGGTCCTAGGGGCCTATCATGAACAGAAAACTAAGCGATTGCAACATGTCATTTCATTTCATAACAATTAAAATACATTGTGCCTTCATTTGTTTTCACTAATCATGTGATGCGATCGCTTCGTTTTTTGTTCATGATAGGCCCCCTAATCCCTCATTACTCGCGTGAAACTGCCCGAGGTGATTACTCGCATCGCGGCGCCGCGCCGTAATCTAAAGTTGAGCGCACCGTTGCCACAATTCATTCGGAGAGTGGACTCGCTGATCTCCCGGCAGTCCCGGCAGCCACAAGCGTCGCAACGCCGTGCGAAATTTTTCCATCATACGATCAGTCGCGTCGCGGCACCTCGCAGTATTTTTTATGTCCAGTTAACATAGGAGCGAATGTTCGCTAATCAGGGGCTTTGACTGTGATTGGAAATGGCGGAATATGCTTTGAGATAAAATCAGTGAGGCATGCAAATTTTTGCATATTTTTTAATGAGCTTTTTTGGAAGTTGTACTAAAAATTCAAATTTCACCGGCGCGGTGTCGTGGACGCGAGTAACGAAGGGTTCACACTTTGATCGCACAAAAGTTACGAACGCCACTGATCGTGCCGAAGTAATGATGAATTTAAAAGATCTAGGAAAAATCTGAAAAAAATCAATTTGTCTTAATCTGGATCCAATTATAAAACTATTGATTTGGACTTTTTCCTATGATTAAAAAAAAACAAAATTTCAAGAATAAACGAAAATTTCACCTCACTTCCATAATTTTTTGCTTAGATTAAAGTACGAAACTTCTGAAATTTTTACTGGTAATATCTTTCATTATTTTTTATGACATCCTCATTACCAAAATCGTAAAAAAAATGAACAATTAAAACCACAAATTACGTGCATCATTATTAAACTCCTTCAAAACAAAATTACTTTAGAATATCATAAACACCTTCCTGCAGAACCATAAACCCCTGTATTCCTTTTTTTCCTTGTTATCACTACCGCTCTTCTGAGAATAATATCTCTATTGTGCAAATTTACGTTCCCGCAGAAAAATCCACGCGGTTTTGACCCATAAACCCGTAATATCATGTTGCGACTTTATTGGAGGAGAAAAAATCTCTCAAGTAAACGATTTTCATCGAGACCATAATCCCTTTACCTATTTTCATAAAGAATAAAAGTAGAAGGGACATTTGTGAAACAAAAATCCATCTAACAGATGTCTTTTCTCAAAAATTTGAAAATTTCATCTTGGATAATTATTTGACCTGCATTAACCCTCAATCACTCGCTCGATGAGCCCGGCGCCGCCCTTTTTCATTTTTTAATATTTTAGCGTGCTTCTCGACGCTTAACCCTAAATTGGTCACCCTATGAAGCAAACCGCGCCGCCCGTCGTTTTCCTTCAATTACAATTGACTGGCGAACCGGAAAAAATTTAAAAAATTTGACTTTATCAATTGAAGTGTTTAAAAAATTATAGTAGTTTTTAGAACCACATATTTCCCAAAATTCCTACCGAAAATAAATTATTTCGGACAGATAAATTATTTTTTCCCATGTTAAATAAAATTACCCATGACGCGACGTTGCCGAAAACTCGCTAAACGCGTCCGGGCAGTGTAGACTAAATTCGGCAACGCTAAAGCCTAAATAACACGGTGGCGAATCCCCGCGGAGGTGACCAAAGTCGCTGGGTCGCGTTTGGTGGCCCGACTAGGGTTAAAAATTTCGAAAAAATTAGAGTTCCTAGTTCAATCCTTTTATTAAGCGTTGGCGTTGTCCGTTTTTTTCTCGGGAAATTTGTTTAGCTAGAAAAATTAAAGAAACGTCGAGCGGACAGAAAGGCGGCGCCGCGCCGCCCGGTGCGAGTGAGTTCCTGTCAACTCTTCGAGCGCCAGTGTTGCCACATTCACTGTCACACTATGAAATGCGCGCATAGCGGTAAGCGCCAAGGTGGCAACAGCGCGCTCGGTTTACCCAAGCGGCGCTGCGCTAACCGCGCGACGGATGAAGACTGGCGGCCGAGCGCGAGTGATCACGAGTTAAAAACACGGAAAGCTCATAGTGGCAATAAGGATATCCAAGAGTTGCACGCGAAGCAACTCGTTGGAATGCAATCAATTAAGTAATTTAGATTTTTTTCCGGAAATCCAGAGGGAGTAACTTATGAATGGACTCGTCTAATTACAGATGCAAATAACGAAGGAAGACATGTGGATACGAACCTACGGCAGACTCTATCAAAAACTCTGCTCGACAACGTACGAAATACCAATTGGTATCTACAGAACGCAGGACACGAGTGTGACGGATACTTCGAACGTGAGTAAAATATGATTTCTCTGGGAGTAGTGAGGGAGCCCAATTGTAGAAGAGACAGCTGAAAAAGAAAGCCCAACAGTTTAATGAATAGAGAGATGAAAAAGCTGAGATGGCTGTGAGTAGCGCATGGTCGTGCTCTCTGGCGCTAGCTCCCCCCTTTTTTATGTCCATCTGTCTGTATCTCATCTCATTCCTCCTTGCATTTATGCTTTTGAGTTTAACGTAGTCCGAATCACCTGGATGAAATATATTCAAATGGAGTTTTTATATCTTTGTGAACTGCACTGAATGATCATACGGATAGAGGGTAAATTATGTAGAATTCAATTAGTTAATCTATTGAGATGATGGGTTCTAATAAAATGGGTTTAAACCGCATTCTTTCAAAAATGTCAAAATCAGGGATCGCCAACAATCATTTTCGGAATATTTTTGTAATTTTATGAGAAGTTGCACCTTACAATAATTAAGGTTTACTTATCACCATTGAAATTTGAAGAATAGTAAAATATAATAATAAATAATACAAATATAGAATACTAATAATTGTAACTATATTATAATTATCTATAATAATAATTATATATAACTACATTATTATCAATTTATTATAATAATAAGTTATATATAAGTTGAATTTTCAATTTAAATTGTCAATTAGCGATGGTAAAAGTGCGATTGTAAAATATGAGTGAAAAAAATTGTCAAATCGGATTTGCGTTTGGAGCGTAAAGCGTACCAGCCCGATCAGCCGAATAATTTCCAATCATTTAGATCTTCTTCAGCGATTAAAAACTCGGAAAACGACATTTAAAATATCCGAAGAAAACGAATAAGCTCATTCAACGTCGAATAATGCTGCATCGTCAATGTTTACTTTCCATTCCGAGTTAATTGGCGTCCTTCGAATGAAATAAGTGAACCAACCATCCAATTGATTCCCTAATCAATTATCCCCCAGAATTTTCAATTACTCGACCTGAGAATAATTTGATAAAGATATTCAGTAATTGGGGAATAGAATAGCAAATCATCGTTTGCATAGTGTGACGTGTGACACAGAGTTCGTCGAACCATGTTTGGTGAGAATTCATTATTCATGACTCTAAATTCCTGCATCGTGATAGTAATCTAGGTGAACGAACAATCCCTCATAACTCTCTTTAGCGTCTTGNTATTGCATCTTTATAATGCTCCCTTGAAAGTCTTTGAACGCTGGTGGAAACTTCAGTGTCGAGGAAGTCCTCTTATTTTGGAGCAAAATTGGAGATCGTTTTGCATTGAAGAAAATTGGTGAATATTGCAGGAAAATTTGAGGACTTATTTTGGAGTCGATAGGGCGTCCCAACCCTCGAGGGGGTGATTTGGCCAAGAAAATTGTAATGAAATTTTTCGTCTTCGACCTTTGTTAATGAGTTACTGACCAAATTCCTGCTAGATGAACGAACTATTCCTCATAACTCTTTTTAGCGTCTTTTAGCCATTCTCCCTCGCCTCCTCCTCCTCTCACCCCACAACCGTTTCATTCCACCCGCGTTATTGTGATAAAAAATTCTCCCCGAACGTTTTTTCTATTGACATTCTTTCAAGTTTCTTATCCCCTTTCAAAGTACTTGATCTTTTTTCATCTTTCTTACATGTAAGACTGCAATATGATTTTATTACATAAAAAATTCAACTCCATCAACTTTGTATTGCATCTTTATAATGCTCCCTTGAAAGTCTTTGAACGCTGGTGGAAACTTCAGTGTCGAGGAAGTCCTCTTATTTTGGAGCAAAATTGGAGATCGTTTTGCATTGAAGAAAATTGGTGAATATTGCAGGAAAATTTGAGGACTTATTTTGGAGTCGATAGGGCGTCCCAACCCTCGAGGGGGTGATTTGGCCGAGAAAATTGTAATGAAATTTTTCGTCTTCGACCTTTGTTAATGAGTTACTGACCGAATTCCTGCTAGATGAACGAACTATCCCTCATAACTCTTTTTAGCGTCTTTTAGCCACTCTCCCTCGCCTCCTCCTCCTCCTCTCGAAAATTCCCCTCCGAACGTATTTTCTATTGACATCCTTTCAAGGTTCTTATTCCCTTTCAAAGTACTTGATCTCTTTTCAATTTTCTTACATTTAAGACTGCAATGTGATTTTATTACATGAAAAATTCAACTCCATCAACTTTTTATTGCATCTTTATAATACTCCCTTGAAAGTCATTGAACGCTAGTGGAAACTTCAGTGTTGAGGAAGTCCTTTTATTTTTAACAACCCCGCATAAAACTTTAGTGCACATTTTAGAAATTGATTAATCTAGAAAAACAAATTCATTTGATCAATCTAGAATAGTTTGTCCTAGTCGTTAGAACCCTGCAAGGGTTTATTTTCAGGAAACCACCGGCCTGTTATCCATAGAATAATTGAGAGATCAATAACATCACCCAATTGAGCAGTAACTGGAACAGTTGTCAGTAAGGATTAGCACAATATCTTGCTTGTCCTCTTTTAACAGGACTCGGATGCTGAGAGCGATACTGGAGTTGGTGTCACGTACAAGATGCGCCGTACAGCGGCTGCTGCGTGCCTCTCGAATTGCTCTACCCGTGAAAAGGGTGCATCGGCAGTGAGTAAATTGCATATGTGTTTAACGTGTCATGTGCTTAATTAAATTCTGTGAATTCATGTCGTGCTTGATTTTTTAATGCACTTGTGAACGATCATTGTGATTATTCTTATCTATTATTGGGATTATCTATCAATGAATTCTATTATTGATGGGCAGAGAGAAATTACAATGTTCCTTGAAGAATTATTCATTCAATCTCACTCATAATCGTCGATGTCCGAAATGCAATAAATTAACAGTTGTAGCAAGTGAATTCCCCGGAAATTGTTATGATTACACGATTCAAGTCCATGTGACATGTCTGACTATTGCCTGAATTATCTCCTTCATCGTCTGTGAAGCTGAGAGAGGCTCAACCAGGGATGGCCATCAATCTTCCGACTCTTCAATATTGAAAGAATGTTCGACTTATATTGATCAACGCTTCAATTTACTAATCGAAATTAAAAAATAGTAAAATAATTGATAATCTAAATTTCCAATTGATGATGAATTGAATATTAAAAAATTTGAAATTTGAAATTTGCTTCATGTGTCCCTTTAAGGGACGCATGTACAGTGCACTCTCCTTTATCCGCCGGCCTCGGGACTCGGTCGTGACGTCATTTCATGTGAAACGCAGATAAAGGAACATCCCCACTCGTCCAGTTTACAGCAGCATTAGAAGAGGGAAAGGATCGGGAATAGTGGGGGGAATCGTGGCAGTGGTTTACATTTGTGACCCACTGCGCATTTCATAGCGCATGACGTCAAAGAGAAGGATGCAGGATAGATATGGAGTGGTGGAAGGTTTTTGAGGGGCATCAGGCCTCGAGGGGAGTGAGCGCAAATTACGGAGTCGGCGGATAAAGGAGAGTCCACTGTATATCTTCCCGATGCGAGTTGAAATTTAAAATTGAAATTTCTGAAATTTCTTACGAAACTTTTCAGTTTTTATAAATTCCAATTAATAATAAATTTTGTTTTCTCTCCCAATCTAATTCAGTCTTAAGCGATTGCGACCAATTTCATTTCGATCGCACTACGCGTTCGCCCGAGTGCGTTAACGAAAAAAAGTGGCTACACACACACACACACACACACATTGCCGGTTATATATATATAAACCATCCGGGAAGCTTCTATTCGTCGTAAAACGTCGATATTTCATGAAATTACGATTTTTCATTTCCGCGGTAAAACCAATGACTTTCTATCGGAAAGTTAAAAATATGGAACTATAAATTTTCAATTCAGTAGATAATACTAAATTTCTTATAAGAGACTTCCGATTATCCAAATAATCGTCAGTCTTCCTAACTCAATTACTCCATAATGAATAATTCAAAATTTGACTATTTAAATTGATGATTACTTCAACAACTAAAATTTAAAAGTGATATTAACAAATTGACTACTCAATAATTTACCAGTAATTATAATTTATAAGTATGGCTATCCCTGGTCTCAACATTTCTTTCTGGACTAATATTCCTGACATTTCAATATCAAATGATATTTTGCTGAGCACCTCGAGAGCCTTCGGAAATATATTTTTTCATATGGAGCATGTGTCTCGGTTGCCGGTTATGTCGATCAGACCGGACAAAAAGCGAGTGAGTGACGTCGATGCCCGATAGGGCGCACGCAGAGGTCGTATAATGAGCCAGATGCGGTAGTGTCTCCGCCAAGTACGCGCCGCAGTGGGAGCCCCAACCGCACGCAATAAAACAACCCGAACGACCGCCCACAGCTCTCATTAACTCCCCCGAATTTTCTGTCCCCAGTACTCAGTCTCGATAGCCGACGAGGCCCGCGACAACCACACCCAGCAGATAGAGCGCGCCGAGATCGCCAACCTCGTCCGCTCCCGAATGGAGTCCCTCAACCTCCCAGTGGCCGACTACGACGACGTCTCCGAGAAGCGCAACAGTCTCTCCTACGTGATAATCAACCCGAGCTGTGATCTGAAGCTGGAGGAGGGTGACATCGTGTACCTGGTCCGACCAAGTCCTTTCTCAGCGCAGAAGACCTTCGAGCGTCATAACTCCCGGCGGAAATCGAACATCAGTTTCTGCTCGGCTCAGCTGGTCGCCCAGATGTCAGCAGCTGTTGCTTCCTCAGGAATAGGCGGCGGTGGGGGTAGTAGAAGGGGCTCGGGAATTGGTTTGGCTAGGGCACCACCACTCGGTGGCACCAAGTCTAATTCACTCTCTTTACCGGACAGTCCCACCGTTGCCGGAAGCCTGCGCGGCCGTTCGAATTCGTTGCGCGTGGTAGACGATATCCTGCTCAGACGAAGCAATTCACTACGACAGGGTTTCACCACGCGACGAAAGAGCAGCCTGGAGGACATCGGCCTCGGTGCGTTGTCCCATCCAACAAATCATAATCCTATTAAAATAGCACTTAATGGCTCAATTGGCCTAGAGGTAACACCACCTGAAGAGGGTATACCTGGGGGCAATGCCAGCAATACTGGTATACTCGATGTTGGTTTACCATCTATGCCAGCACTTGGTACTGGCTTAGGCGCTCCACTTGGTCCACCTCTGGGTGCGGGTCTTGGCGGTTCACTTGGGGGTCTCTATGATCCACCAATTGTCCAGAGTAAAGGACAGGTTAATACCCAACAGCCACAGGGAAATCAGGATCCTCAGCATATACAGGGGACAATCGTATGATACAACCTTATGTGGGGACGCAGACTCTCCAGTGTAGTCAGAAATAAGTGGATATAGCGTTCCCACATAGATGGCCATTTTAGGTATTAGACGAGAGCTCTGCGACAGGAGGAGAGAATCTCTTGAAAGGGCAAGGGCTATCGGTCTTTCATTATTGCGGACAGCAGAAGTCGTTACTGAAATTATTGCTGTTTTTGTACAGTGAAGTTATATTCAATAGCGATGTGGTAAAACGGTAGAAGTTGAGACTGTTTGACTGTTGGCTAATTTTCAATGAATATCTGGGAATCTGAGGGTGATGGCAAAATTTTTGTTATGAACTTTTTTGTAGGGCCGATTGAGAGCTACAACAAATGTGATTACAAACATTTCGCTATCTCCCGGAGATTCGGAAATATTCCTTAAAAACTCAACTGGGAGATGAGTTGACTTAAACCGTTTTACCTTTTTGCTACTGAATTATGGGACGCGTTTTTTAATCTGTTTGTTTTAGGAGATATCTCATCGATTTTGAATTTGTGGTGATTCGGTATTGGCTCGTCAGATTTATCTAGACAATTCAGTAGCGATGCGGTAAACCGATTCAGTTCTCTTCAACCGAACTAAGACCTTGTCAAGTTTATAATTTTCACTAGTTTTATCCGCAGTTCTCCTTTCAAGTAAACATGGAATATTTTATGTGTTATTCAATTGATTAAATTAGGGTGATTACACTGTTCTTTTTTCATTCGATTGAAATTCAGCATCACATTTTCCTTTTTTCCCTCAGGGGCTCAACCCTCGGGGCCTTCCTCTGGACTTTGGATTTTGCTGTTTCATTTTCTTTTCAATTAAGGCCCGGGATCCAGGATTATCTTTCAACCGTGATCTTGTTTTTTTTTATTTTGATAATCTGAAATAATCTCCAATTGCTATTCAGATTTACATAGCCCTGGAGTCTCCAGAAATTACGATTGTACAATCAAAAAAACGTTGAAAAAAAGCTGAACATTTTCAAAGAGTCTTTTTGAATAATATTGGGAAATAAACCCAATAGCGAGGCAATTACAAAATTAATAATTTGATGTATTAAAAACGCTCTTTGAAAATATTTAGTTTTTTTTCAAACTTTTTTTGATTGTACAATCATAATTTTTAGGGACTCTTACGTGATGTAAAATCCAATGGAAATTGTAATATATTTCACATTATGAAGATGGAAAAACAATCGAGACAACGTTCGAAAGATAATCCATCCTGTCCTTAATCCACTGACAAAATCTTCTCCCGTCAAAAATAAAAACGAGTTTTTATTTAACTCGTTTTTAATAAATAAATTTTTTTGTGCTTGAATTGCGTCAAACTGTCATTTTTCAACTGTTTCATTTTGCCCCACTCCCTTGTATATAATATATAATGAAAAAAAATATCTTTTGAAAAATATCTTTTTTCAAATCGATAAAAAACGATTTGTATAATCTAGCATCTTCAGCAAAGATTATCCTACGAATGAAAGATTATCTGAAGAAGATTAACTAATGATACTTGGCGCAATCTAACTATCTTGTGACATGAAGCGATTATTTAGTGTGAAATAATATAATTCTAACTGCAATAAGTCACGGCAGAAATGTCACATCAAACTATATGTTCCTTTAATTGTTTATTCTTACCTTTATTATTTTCAAAAATCCATGAAAGAATAAAAAATACAATGAACCACTAACTTAATTCAGTAGCGAAGTGGTAAAGCGGTTTAAACCGACTCATCTCCCAGTTGAGTTTTTGAGGAATATTTCCGAATTTAAGGGAGGTATCGAAATTTTCGTAATTATATTTGTTGTAGCTCTCAAGCGGTTCTACAAAAAAGTTTAGAACCAAAATTTTGCTATCTCCCTTAGATTCCGAGATATTCATTGAAAACTGGCCAATAGTCAAATTGATTTAAACCGTTTTACTACTTCGCTACTGAATTATTCACTGAAAGCTGACCAATAGTCAAAATGGACTTGAACCGTTCTACCGCTTCGCTACTGAATCTATGATAACATGAGATGATTAGTAATTAATTGATGAGAAAACAAGTTAAAGCTATATCTCAAGAATCAAGAAATTCTCTTCTCTGTATGGGGATCTGAGCAGTAACTCAGTCTTTCTACTCCACAAAACAAAACAGGATAATCAGAAATAACGGATTGGCTGTTGGTATTACGTTCTTTCGTTCGTTCAGTATCAAATGATGATCAATCATCATCGATCGAATATTTACGAGAATTCGAACGGCTTACGACCCGGCTCGGAGGCCACTATGTCGGATGAAGGGAGTCCCGGGAGGTGGTGCTCGTAACGACCCGTGCCCTGCATTTAAATCTGGATTAAAACTCAAGCTGATCCGACTTGATTTGCGGAGTACTGCGATACAAAACTAATTAGTTTACTTTTTTAAGGAAAACATTTGGGGATTTATTTCAAGAGGCTAGGTACGTAAGTAGTAAATAAATAAATGAGAGAATTACACGAAATCACTGAAGTGTTTGAAGAAGTAATTGAGTTTTGAAGTGGTGGATGGAGGCAACTCTGGGGATTCTTTGCTGATTGCTTTGTTAATTTTTTTTTTAATAGATGATTGTAGGATTTCAGGACAAAGTATGGCTTTATTTAATATATTATTTTAGTTAATAAATAAATTTTATCAAGGGGAGGCTACTATGAGTTTGAAAAGTCATGGGCTATTTGAATGCGATTTCTCATACATTGAGAATCGATTATAAATGTCTAAAAACGAATGATTAGTGCAAAAAAATTAATTGTTTATTGTTCGTTAGTCCCACAGACGTTTAAAATATTAAAAATAGTAGAGGACCTCTAATTTTTGAGCTATAAAACTTTATTTTTTTCAAAATTAAAAAAAAATGTGGGCAATAACAATTACGAATTAGTTTTTTGAGATTCAACTCCAACACAGCTAATTTCGTTATTTTTTATTTAAATGTAAAATAGCCCGAAAAATGTTTCTGAAAGAATCAAGAATATATTTCAAATATTTTAGGGATAATTTTTCTGCCTATTTTATTTGAATGTCGCAAATTTCAATATTGAACAAAACGAAATTAGCTGTGCAAGAGTTGAATTTAAAAAAAAAAATTCGTAATTATTATTGAAAACATATTTTCAAAAATTTTGAAAAAAAAAACCTCTGTAGCTCAAAAATTGGTGGCCCTGAACTATTTTCAATATTTTAAGTGTCGGCGGGATAAACGAAGAATAAACAATTAATATTTTTGCACTAATTATTCGTTTTTGGATATATATGAGTAGCGAAGTGGTAAAAGGAGATAAGTCAATTTTGACTATTGACCAGTTTTCAATCAATATCTGGGAATCTAAGGGTGATAACGAAATTTTCGTAATTACATTTGTTGTAGCACTCAATCGGCTTCACAAAAAAGGTTGTAACAAAAATTTCGTTATCTCCCTGAGATTCCGAGATATTGATTGAAAACTGGTCAACAGTGAAAATTGACATCTCCTTTACCACTTCCCTACTGATATAATCCATCTTCAATACATGAGAAATGTCTCTCCAACAGTTCGCGACTTTTAAAACTCATAGCAGTCCCCCTTAAATAAATTTAATAAGTTTTCAAATATAAACTTATGTTTTTTTATGAAAATAAAGACTTCATTAGTGAGTGGTGAAATCATTGTCGAATAAATCTTTCATTTGATTCTAACAGAGGATTTAGTTAGAATGAATGCATTACCTATTTCAGGTAATTGAACCATTTTCATTGAGAAAAAAAGAGTTTATTATTTTCCAACAAAAATATTGATGAGATGAATACGAAAATTCCAAGTAGAATTTTACTTCATTCAAATTCGTCATTTCTCTGAGCATAATTTCCATGTTTGAAGAAAATAAAAGGAACATTTTTGGTAGAAAATTGCATTTTGTTAAAAAAAAATTCTGCAAAATACCTTCCATCTCATCTACTCCACCACTTCACTACATAATAACGAAAACATTAATGTATTTAGACATCATATCACAAGAGAACTTCGCGATTAAATAACGATTCACTGCGTCAAAATTAACTATGTAATTGCCTAGGAGAGATTTTCTATTTAAACGTTATAAAAAAAAAGAAATTTAAGAAATATAATTAGTGAATTAACTGTTAATGAGTGCAGTTCAAGGGGATGATGAGCCCTGAAATTAACGATCGATGCCTCCTCTCGGCTAGTGAAATCCAATTCCAAAGATTTAGAAAGTAAAGAGTCTAAATAATTGATGAGAGAAAAATTTAAACAACATTTTTAGATATTTAGATTTAAGTCGGCGTGTTAATGAGTTGATTAATCAACGCCAGACATTTTTGTACGACACGACACTGAACAATCGCTCGAGTGGTCCGACAAATCAACCGAACGAAATTCCTCCCTTGAAAAATAAAGTTCAAATGAATTTAAATGTATAACGAGAATACCAAGAAAAATGTTCAATTTGCTTTAACATCATTAATTGCAATTTTAATGAATCATTTGTCTATCAATTTCAAAATGCTTTCCTTTCTTGACAATCTGTTGTTCTATATTGTATTTTTAATGTGAAAATATTTATGGGTATTCTGACACTCCTTCAGCGACCAATTTACACAATTTGTGAAATAAAAAAATAGTTTTTGGGCATTTGAGGGATTCAAGTGGTGAAATACGTTTTGGGATCTTTAGAGTGGGAAAAAATACTAGTGGGAAAACACACACGTGTCTTTTCATACTATTCTTGTTATTGTAAAGAGACCAAAATGTATTTCTCCCCTAATTAAATCGCTAATTAATCATTCAAATAATTTCACGTCTTTTATTACTGCTTTCAAATGCTTAAATTCAATCACAATGTGTATGTACAACGTATGTTTGCAATTGATTAGTTCCGATTTACTCAGTAATTTTCGTATTTTCCGCTTCGACGTCATTTTCTAACGATTTTTTTCCCGATTCAATAGCGAAGCGGTAAAATTGTCTCAGTCGATTTTGACTATTCGTCAGTTATCAATGAATATCTCGGAATCAAAGGCAGGCCGCAAAATTTTTGTTACAACCTTTTTTGTAGAACGAATTGAGAGCTACGAAAAAGGTTTGTTTGAGATTGATGCTAAAAATTTAGGCGGGTTAGGGAAAAGTGATTTGAAAAAGATGTGAAAATTAAGAACACGCCATTTACTAAAAACCCACTGGTGAGGTACTTTATTTGTGGTGTAAACCACGCATCTAGAAATTTTATAAGGGTACACTGTTCGTTGGATTGTCTCAATTTAAATTCGATTATTGTCTCTACACTGCACTTTGATAATTCTCTTGATAATTCACTTGATAATAGTCTCAAAATGATTGATAATGGACTCGAAATTAATAGATGATTGACTCGAATAGAGACGCTACTAGGAGCGTTAACTCAGTATCTGACGGTGATGTACTCGGTGATGTACTCGATAGAGCGATTGCGACAATACTGACTGTACGGAGATTGAGATACGAAGTATGCGGTCTAAATGTTACGGTAAAAAATATTACGCCATAATATTACGGTAAATAATATTACCATCCAAATTGTTACGGAGTCTAATTATTATTGGAAATAATATTACGTTTTTACCGACGTCAGTGTTATTATTCATTATTAGGGTTAACTTTGCCAACGCGGCCATCGCCCGAGGGCCTTCAGCCAGGGAATGTTGAATGTGGAGTGGATTTTTCAGTTGAAAATTCCGTGGAATATTCGGTTTGAAAATTGTGGTGATTTTTCAGTTGAATATCATGTGGAAAATTGTGATGAAAAATTGGTGTGGAATTTTGGCCCGGCCGGGGCTCGAATCTGGGAGCTTGAGGTTGTGAATCTCATGCTGCTACTAAGTGCGCCACACAGCCGTTCATTATTATTTTTCGTTATTTATAGCATTTCTTTTGTTTCACAAATTCGTAATTTGTTGAATAAAAAACCTTTGTGTAATAGTAGTTTTGCGTCTTTTTGGCTGAGGATGAAGTGAAGAAGCATGGTAATTATTTTAACGCACCCGTGTCAAGCATTCCGATATAACTAACTTTTGTTGAAGAATCTTCGGTTTTGTGTGTGAATGTTTGAGGGAATTTTATTTTGTTTTGGGGGATTAATATAATCATACCAACTCATACACCTGTTGAGTAATCGATGATAACTGACCTCGGGTCATATTTTTTGGTATTGGGCTATTATTGTATCGATTTGATTTTCGGAGAATTCCTAATCGAGCGGATAAAGGTTTATCCTTGATTCCATACCTTTATATACGCTAATATTACGGTTCAATAATTTTTTGTCCCGTAATATATTTGCGTAATATTTTTTACCCTAATATAATGGTTCCGTAATATTTAGACCTGCAACCACGATACGATACTGAACTCGATTTGATTTACTTCGTGATCTGACCGTGAACCCAAAGGGTCCCGAGGTCATTCGAGAATTTTCGTTGAGCCCGGTGCCATTAGATAGGAAACTATTGCTGTGTTTTAAACAAGGTTGTTACAAAAATTTGGCTATCTCCCTTAGATTCAGAGATATTCCGCAAAACCTTAGCTGAGGGTCAAGTCGACTTCAACCGTTTTACCACTTCGGTACTGAATTCTCATTAGTTCATCGCAAAATCTTACAAAATACTCTTGAATGACTAGATCTTAACCCGATCTCGACGCTAGAACGAAATAAATTGTATTTAGAATTCGGCTTAGGCGACTCTACGAGTATTTTTTAGTCGGAATCGAATCATTTCTCAATGGGAATCAACAGAAGTGAATTTAAAAAAAAAGTAATGGAGGAAAAAGTATCAGCGCATACACGCTTTGTAGATTGAGACTAGCAGCCTCTTTCCGATTGACTTTCAAGAGAAAATACGAGAGTCATGTTATGGGTACAGATTAATTCATTGGATCGATGAGTGAAGTGATGACAGAAAATAATTCCAAAAATTAGACTTTCTGTATTTTGTAAATATCTGCGGAACGATCGGGTTTGGAACAAAATGAATTGTCCAAGAGCCTTTTCTTGGACAATTCAGTTGCCCATGAAAACATGATTCACAACATTTTGTTCCTAAATCCACTAATTCTGAAATATTTACGAAATAAAAAAATGCGGTTTTCTGGAATTATTTTCCCTCTCTTATAACTTCACCCAACAATTCAATCAATTTCGATATCACTGATAGCCTATAAATATTTTAAAAAAATAAAAATAATACTATTACCAAGAGGAAAAGATTATTGACTACTGCACCCAACGATGACCAATTTTTTCATCCAACGCTATGCTCGATTAAATTTTCAATTGTAAAAAAAAACTTGACGTAACAATGATTTTTCATTGAATTTAATTTTCCTGGAGGCGTCGAATATAATTGTAATTAGCGTTTAAGTGAAGTTAAATCCTCGACCAGAAACCAAAAAAAAAAACAAAATGAAACCAAATGTGAACGGCTGTATTTAATGTAATATAAAATGAAAAATTATTGAAAATAAGAAAAAAATGTACCTATTGCATATCGTGTGTTGTCGTTTCTATGAACGCAATGCATGAGGTAAATTTATTATAAATATACCATAATTATAGCATCTGCTGTTCATATTCACTCTAAAATATTGTTTAAATAGATAAGAATTTTCTTTTCAATTTTTCTTGCTTCAAGAAATTTTTTCGGATAGAAAACAAGACAAATCGGGGCTGTTTGCAGCTCTACTATCCCCGCCATGATGGTGAATTCCCGGATGATCTGGGTGAAATGACCTGGAAGAAGCGGAAATGCTGACTTCAACGAAAAAAATTCAGCATCTGATTTACATTCTGCAACTGATTGATTCCAAACATTCTCGTAAAATAAATCATGGAAATCATTTGGAATATGTTGAATATAACCAAAATTATATAAGGGATTGTTCATCAATTATCTATGGACAAATACGATTCCTTTGGCGCCACGATTTAACTTATGTTTTCCGTAGCATTTTTCCCCAGAATTACGGGAAAAACAATGAAAAAATTCCATCTCCATTATTTCTCCTGAATTATAGAGCTTCTTCACAGAAGACAGAAGTTTATATAGCGTTCCACATCTTGTGGCGTCACTGGATATTGCTGGATAGGATTTTGGAGAAGGTATGAGGGGAACCAGGATATTTCTCAATATTAATTGACGAAACAAATTTACTGAAAAAATTCGAAAGTCCAGACTGAGATTTGTCCCTCTCTCAATCTCTCCCAACTTAAGGTAAGGTCACAAGGGTCACAAAAAAGGAGTCACTAAGGTCACGAAGTCACAAGGGTCACATAAAAAAAGGAGTCGCTAGGATCACGAGGGTCACAAGGGTGACAGTGCCTTGGTTGAGTGCGTTTTTAACTGAAAATTCTTTTGTTGCAAATTTTGTTCACTGAATTTTTGCGATTATTGTTGTGATTTTTTCAGAAAAAAAAATCAATCAAAAAAATCGCAAACAAAACAATTTCCATTAAAATTGAGTTTTGTTGTTTTGATGTTGTAAATGTTATTATTGAATTCAAATGTGCGAATGTGAGTGCATGAATTAATATGTCGAGTACCTATATGAAGCGTTATGGAAATGTTCGTATCTTGAAAAATAAGGATTGAAATGCTTATATCCCAAAAACTAATTGAGAGGGAATTTTTTCTTGATTTCTCCTGTATTCCTGAGGCAAAATGGTACGGAAAATGTATGTCAAATAGCGGCACCAAAGGAATCGTAATCTTCCCAAAATATAGAATGTCAAATCTGAAACTTTTCAAATATCAGATGAATCTTCCTCGGCAAGAAGACGTTCTGTTACGTCAAGAAACGTATCGCATAATTTGTTGAAAAAGGAAAACATTCAAATAATAAAGTACAGAAATAATAGTGAATTGAAAAAAAATGATTTAATGAATAAAATAGTGAAATAACGGGTAATCAGAAGAAGAATTTCGCATTCAGAAACCGACGCGATAAATCCGCGTGGAACAATTGGAGAATGACACATGACAATCCTCTAATTTGACTCGACCATTATCTCCACCGGATAATGGATAAAATTTTTTTATAAAAATCATTTGATTCCGATGGAATTTAAAAATCATCTCTTTTTTAATCTTATAAATTTTTGTTATTTTATTGCCATTATTTTTTTAGTAAAATAATAGTAATAATAGTAACAAAATAATAGTAATAGAAAACAAGCTCACACATGGAAGAGTTTGAATAACGAAACCATTGCAGAATGTTTGGTTACCTAGAGTGAAATGAGGCTTGAATGGTAGGATTTAGGGGAAAAATGATCAAACAGTTGAATATCTTCAAATGTTATATTTTCAGTACAATCATACCCAATTGTTCTCATTGAATCTCACACAAGTGTTTTTTTAAACTATTCTTGCCATTGTAAAGAGTTCAAAATTTATTTCTCCCTCAAATTCATTCCTCTCCAGGGATTGCCCCCTTGCATACCCCTAACTAATCATCTAAATAATTTCACGTCTTAAATTGCTGCTTTCAAATGCTTAAATTCAATCACAATGTAGATGTACATTATGTCCGCAATTGATCAGTTACGAATTGCTCAGTAATTTTCGTATTTCCCTCTTCGACTCTATCTCTAACGATTTTTTTTACAATTCTCATTAGTTGATCTGAAAATCTTACAGTGTATTCTTGAATGACTAGGTCTAAACCTGATCTCGACATTAGAATGAAATAAATTGCATCTAGAATTCGGCTTAGGCAATTGTACGAGTGTGTTTAATCGGAAGTGAATAATTTCTCCATTGAAATCAACAAATGTGAATTGAAGAAAGTAGTGGAGTAAAAATTTTCAACGCATACACGCTTTGTATATTAAGACTAGACGCCTCTTTTCTACCGATTTTTAAGAGAAAACACGAGAGTGATGTAACGCGTATCGTTTTATTAATTGAATCAATTAGTGAAAAGATGAGAAAAAATAAGTTGAAACAGTAAATTTACTATATTCTGTAAATATTTGCGAAACGAGAGTTCTAGAGCGTAATGTTAAGAGACTTACTTTCGTTGAGAATTCAATTTTGAACAAAAAAAGATTCCCTTCACTAAATAATTCAATCAATTTTCATACCACCGATATCATAAAAATATGAATACATATGAATACGTCCTGATAAAAGGGAAAAACAGATTATTGTCTGATGTACCCAACGATGAACAATTTTTGATCCAACTCCCTAATCGATTAGATTTAAATAAAAAAAATTTTAATGTAACAATGATTTCTCATTAAATTAAATTTTCTTGGAGGCGTCGAAAATAATCGTGATTAAAGTTTAAGTAAAGTTAAATTCTCGACCGGAAACAAAAAAAAATACCAAAATGGAAGCAAATGTGAACGTCCGTATTTAAAGTAATAAAGAAAGAAAAATGATCGAAAATAAGAAGAGAACATGTCCCCATTGCATATCCTGTGTTGTCGTTTCTATGAACGCAATGCATGAGGTAAATTCATTATAAATATCCCCTAATTATAGCATGTACTGTTGATATTCACTCTAAAATATTGCTTAAATAGACAAGATTTTTCTTTTCAATTTTTCATAGTCAAAGAAATTTTTTCGTAATAACAAAAACGTTTTGTTTAATTATAAAAATATAAAGAATTATTTGTCTTAAGGTTTTACTCATTATTTTGGGTGTGGAATGTTTATTTTCACGTAGTAGTTACGTGGTTCCTTTTTATTTACACCTACGAGAAATTTTTTGGGGTTTTTGGGTAAATACAAGGGTCTAGGTACGTTATCGACGAGTTGGGCACTTATCATGCGATACGCGAGGGCTTCGGGACGTTCTCGGTGAACTGTCCGACAATGTTACCTCTCGGGTGGTAACACGCCACGATAACGCAAGTCCCGTCCTTTTTGGCCATTGCTATCCCCATCTCGGTGGAGGATTTCCAGATGATCTGTGTGAAATGACCTGGAAGAAGTAAAAATGTTGAGTGAATTTTCTTCAATTTTTTTTAAAGATTAATAACAGTCAATGCATTAGGTAATAGCAAATGTCTTGGCATTTTTTCAGAAAATTGACCATCTCTTCTCCACTTTTGTAAATAATTCTTTCGTATCTCTTGAACTAGTACCTAGATTTAGAAAAAATGTTGAGGAATTTACAATATTAAAAAAAATTCGTGTAGCACATGAAATTCTTTTTGTTGTGTAGAATTTCACGGATCGAATTTCCCTCCGAACTTTCTTCTGTTCATTGAAAAATTGGCATTTCAGGATATCCAAGTACTTTGGCGATTTTATCCACCAGTGAAATGCTTTTCCAGTTGTCTAGTCGAACATCAGAGTTTTCAGTTGAGCCCCACTTAAGGATGTTTAGCCATTTTCAGCAAATATTATTTTTTCATGTTCAAGGAAAATTCTATAATTTTTTGGCTGATAGCAGAACATATAAAACTAACTTCTTTGATGTTGAAATGATATATTTCGTTACGAGTGCGGAAAAGAGTTTTTTAGCTCGTGGGAGGTTTATAGCACGAGCCGAAGGCGGGTGATATAATCCCACGAGCCAAAAAACCCTTTTCCCACGAGTATCGAACGATATTTTTCATCATAATGTGTGGAAAAGGGACGTTACTTTTTCGCACAGCGTGATGAAAAAAATTAATCGCAATAGTCTCGCCAGAAATAAATGAACAAATTTTTCTTTACACACGGGCTCTTATGGGATTTATATTGAAATTTATAATTTACCTACTAGAAGATTCTATAAATAGAAATCAAAATGGTAATGTGCAAAACTATGCTGAATCGAATGGCCAGAGAAAAATTTGGCGTACCCGGGCAAAAAGAGGAAATATTTATAAGATTCAGATGTCAGCGCATGCGTTTGGTGCATTTGTCCACTCCATTTCTAAATAATAAACGTGGGTTGGTCGATTGGAATTTTTATCAAGATAAAGGGAATTACTTCATCTCTCAATTGAAAAAAAATCAAAATTTTTTTGAATGCTTGCGATTTGGGATAATCATACTTAATGAGTTATTATCTGTCTAAACATTTTCAAAATTGAATATATAAGAATTACTCACTTACGTAATTGCATAGAATTCCTACAAAATCAATAAGCAAATGGTCCATTTTACTCACAGGTATTTAATACTTTTGGTTCGATGCCATACTTGTGGTCCTTTCGTTCAGCGTACCACTTGGACACAACCTCACGTGCAGGAACAATGAGATTGGGATCGGAGCACTGCACCGAGTAAATGTTCTCACCGAATGGAGAGCTCGACTGGGGGACCAGTTTGTTTGTGTTCAATAAAGTGTTCGCCCAAGCCTAGAAAAAATGAGAAACCATTTTACAATCGCTTTTTTACACTGAATATTTCTTTCCACTATTGAAGATGTCTATGAAAATATGAAATATGAAATGATCTATTCGATAGACAAAGATGAAAAATTCAATTCTGAAGAAAGAAATGAGAAAGATTGGAATGATGAAGCACTCGATAAAATCAAACGCATTAATTCATCAATTTTTATTTCAATCAATCAAAGAATAATTTCTTCGATGAAATTCTCTGAATTTAAAGATGTCGATGTTAATTTTTGAAAATACACTTGAACTTTTCCATAAAAAATTTCACTTTTTGAAACAAAATTAAATGTTCCACAAATTCATTTAATTCTCCCAAAAAGATCTATCTGATAGACAAAAATGCAATTCTGACGAGATAATTTAGAAAAATTCAAATAATCAATGACTCCATAAAATTAAACGCATTAATTTATCGAGTTTATTTCATGAATCAAAGAATAATTTCTTCGATGAAATTCTCTGAATTTAAGGATGTCGATGTTAATTTTTGAAAATACACTTGAACTTTTCCATAAAAATATTTTCACTTTTTGAAACAAAATTAAAAGTTCCGCAAATTCATTTAATTCTCCCAAAAAGATATATTGGATAGACAAAAATTCAATTCTGACGAGATAATTTAGAAAGATTCAAATGATTAATGACTCCATAAAATCAAACGCACGAATCTATCGAGTTTATTTTATGAGTCAAAGAATAATTTCTTCGACGAAATTCTCTAAGTTTAAGGATGTTGATGTTAATTTTTGAAAATACACTTGAACTTTTCACAAAAATTTGTTCACATTCTCGTTGAAACAAGAATAAAAATTCAGCAAATTCATTCAATTCTCCCAAAACGATCTGATAGATGAAGATTAAAAATTCAATTCAGAGGAGATAATTTATAAAGATTCAAATGATTAACGACTCGATAAAATCAAACTCATTAGTTCACCGATTTTTACGTAATCAATCAAATCGATAAATACCCTCGCAGCAGAAGTCAATTCCCCGCTGAGTCTCAGATCAGGCACTCTGTGTTTCCTCCTATACTCATTATGAACGAGCAATGCCTCCTGCTGCCACGCTGCCTCATCGACAGCTGAGTGAGCACCTCTGGAAGCTAGACCATTACTTTTCCCCGGCGAGCCTCCGCCAGGTGGTAATACATTCTCCATAAAACTTCCGAGAAAGTTGCCAGCTGGATTGTAATTGCATACGACGTAAACTTCACCATTACGATTACGCGACATTCCTACACCGAGCTCGGTACTGTCTCTCCATACGACCTGCGTAAAATGACCACTCTTCAGGGTTGTCGGCTCTTTGGTATACTGATGTTGTGCTTCCTCTGCATACCTATTCAACAATAAAAATTACAGAATTTCAATTAAAAACAAGTGGGAAATTGCTCTTGTATTGCCTACACTAAGAGAAAAACGACAAAGTTCTCAAACAAGTCTTACTTGTGGCAAGAAAATAGTTTTTTGAAAATTATCAAAAAAGGATTTTTTTGTGCCGAACATGCAGAGAGTGCGCCAGAATGAAAAATTTTCGTCGCAAAAATAGATTGAGTAGTTCAAAAAAAATTGCATTCTCTGTACACGCAAGAAATGTCATTTCTAGCACCACTCCGTCGTTATTCGATACTCCCATATATTTTGCTCCCGAAAAATCTTTGTTTTATGCGAAACAAGGGATAGTAGTTTTTCGTTTCGGCTGTCTAATAATCACAGACAAGAAATGAACACTTAAGGCCCGGGTGTACTATCTTTTGAACGTTATCTGAATTTTTTTATCTTTCGTCATCCAAAATTGTCAATTGAGTGGTAAATCATGTAGAAATTCCCAAAAATTATGATAGAATGATAAAAAAAATGGAAAAAATTCTTAACTTTTTCAAAGAGCGTTTTTAATTGTGATTCAGAATGAGTTGAAAAAAGTTAAAAGAGCGTTTTTAATTGAGATTCAGAATGAGTTGAAAAAAGTGGAAATTACAAATATCTGATTCGCTGTGGCAAATTATCTATTAGAGGTCATTTTCCATGGTGGATAACAAAACACTTACTCCTCATGGGAAGTGGCAGCTAGGTATCCATACATATTTTGCTCCCGAAAAATCTTTGTTTTATGCGAAACAAGGGATAGTAGTTTTTCGTTTCGGCTGTCTAATAATCACAGACAAGAAATGAACACTTAAGGCCCGGGTGTACTATCTTTCGAATGTTATCTGAATTTTTTTTATCTTTCGTAATCCAAAATTGTCAATTGAGTGGTAAATCATGTAGAAATTCCCAAAAATTATGATAGAATGATAAAAAAAATGGAAAAAATTCTTGACTTTTTCAAAGAGCGTTTTTAATTGTGATTCAGAATGAGTTAAAAAAAGTTCAAAGAGCGTTTTTAATTGAGATTCAGAATGAGTTGAAAAAAGTGGAAATTACAAATATCTGATTCGCTGTGGCAAATTATCTATTAGATGTCATTTTCCATGGTGGATAACAAAACACTTACTCCTCCTGGGAAGTAACAGCTAGGTATCTCAATTTTCAAAACAGTGGTATGTGGTCATCTGCCATTTTTATGTGATAAAAGTGTGATTAAAAAATTCTCCAAAATATTGCAACTTTTTTCAAAGAACCTTTTCCGTAATAAATGTCTCTGTGCAGTGTGGGAAAAGATTTACGAAATCAGTCTTCCCCCTGCATGATATTGGGCGACAGGCTGCCATTTGTCACCGTAAATCAGATACATTTTTCGATTTCTTGTTATTCAACTTATTCTGAATATAACTTAAAAATGCTCTTTGAAAAAATTAAGAATTTCTTCTACTTTTTTTTGATTATTCATTCATAATTTTTCAAAACTTCTGCATGATGCAGGACTCAATTGACAATTTCAGATGACGAAAGATGAAAAAAAACATCGAGATAACGTTCGAAAGATAGCACACTCGGGCTTTAAATGAAACAATAATAATGATATGATAGCAATTTTGTAACTTAGGGATAAAATATTTGTTGATAAATTTTCCTCTATATAAGATATTTTCATCCTGAAGAGGCCCCGTCTGGTGTGAATGATCCGCCCCTTGAGCCAAACATTTCGTTGCTGTCGAAAGCAGAGCAATTATTCATGTTTGAGACTTTCAAATTCGAACCAAACAAATTCTTTTTTGGCAATTTTCAACTAGCGATTTTGTTTGCCCAAACAAGACTTGTTTGACAACGTGTTTGTTTTTCTTTCAGTGTATAGTTATAGTATAGTTACTTTCGCTAATAAATTAGCAAGTTTAATTCATTTTATTAAATTGAATAGAACTTCTTTTCAACTAATTTTGTCAGATTTTCCACTTAGTTGAATGTTATCACCATCATTATGCTTCTTAACATATCCCCTCCTCCATTGGACCATTATGCGGTCAATATCAGCAATATTAGCAAAATAAAAGTGAAAAAACGACAAAACAACCCCTTATTTTTCCAATCGCCAACGTTTCGAGTACTAAATCAGTAGCGAAGTGGTGAAACGGTTTAATCTCCCAGTTGAGTTTTTGAGAAATATTTCCGAATTCAAGGGAGATAGCAAAATTTTCGTAATTACATTTGTTGTAGCACTCAATTACCTCCACAAAAAAGATTGTAACAAAAATTTTGCTATCTCCCTTAGATTCCGAAATATTAATTGAAAACTGGTCAATAGTCAACATTGATTTATACCGTTTACTACTTCGCTACTGAAATGTTCGCCTCATCAGGGGGTCATTTTATTGCACAATTCTCATGCTATAAGTTGTTAAAGCATTATGTTGAATCAGAGTCTTATGGAACACGAATGTCAAATCCGTAACCATCAAAAAGCATTTCTAACCGTTCAAAATGTAAACCAATCAACGATTATTCAAGTTACTTTGTTACCGTATATCCCTCTAAACTAATAAAAAGATCGATAAATAAAAAAAAAGCGAGTCAGAGTAATAATTCACGTCAAATGACATTTAAAACTCAAATCAGTCTTATTATGTTAATATTGCTGATATTGACCGCATAATGGCCCAGTGGAGGAGCGGATATGTTAAGAATAAATTCAGCGGTTGGAATTCACCTAATTTGCATCATTATTTTTATTATTCTTTTGTTCTATACAACCGATTGTCTTTTTTACAGTTTTATCTCTTCCCTCGGCCCTTCACGAAAATGTTGATAGAAAAATTTTATTGACACATACTTGAATGAATTTGAAACGTCGCATTTGAAGAAACCATTTGACAGCTCACCTTCAGGGAAATTCATAAAAAATTCGAAATTCTCAACAGTCATCGTAAAAATCTAATCAACCAATATAGCTGTTGTAATCATCTTTTAACTACGACTTAATGGCATTGTAACAAACATTTTAAACTATGATTCAATTCATTTGAAGCATGGTATTCGAAGATATCCCCGGAATTCTGATTTTGACATGCAAGAAAATTTTTTAAGCCATCATTCAATCAATTCAGAACATTTTTTTTAGTTATCGTGGGACAACCGATTTTCGAAATTTGAAAATTAAAAAATCGAATCGAGGAATTCAATTTTAATTAATGGCGATCGATAGGGCTCAATAATACCTGCATTGGAAAAAAAGATTCAATTCAATTCAAAAAGAAATCCTAGCGATTCATTTATTCAATGAAATTATTACAATTCTAGATTTTTTACCTGGATTTTAGGCAATTTACTCGATTTTTTTAAATGAAAAAACGAATTTTCTAAAAAAAAATCGGTGAAAGAAGAAATTTCAAAGTCAAGGAATTTGAAGTTTTTTCCAACTGATAGAGAAAATTAAATTAAAAATGAGAGCTTGATTAAATTAATGAAATTGAATTTATTTCTTGAATAAAATTCATCCAATTCTAGTATTTTTACTTGGGTTTTAGGAAATTTACGGTAATTTTTTTAATGAAACAAGAATTCTAAAGGCCCATAATTTGATTTTTTTCCAACTGATGGAAGAAAAAAAAATATCGATAGTTTTAATAAAAAAGCAATAAATTTTTCAATGAAATTCATTCAATTATAGAGTTTTTATTTCTCCAGAGAATTTCATTGAAGATTTTTTTCTCTATTCCTTTCCTTTTTATGAACTATTCATTAAAACAGCATAAAGCAGTTAAAATGCCGAAAAAAGAAGTAGAAGATAGAATTTATGTAGTTTTGCAAATAAAATCTGAATTGGTTCTATTGAAATTGTCATCATGTCCTTATCGTTTAATTTAAGAAACTTCCCGAGCTAAATTACAATTCATTAGAATTTGATTACGCAATCGTTTAGTGACGTTCTAATAATTTCTCATAATTTTCTCTCCTGCATGAGAGAATGGAAAATTAAAAAGGAAAATACGATATGCATTTGCACTGTTCTAATTATATCTGGGTCAATTTCACGAGTTTAATCTTTTCATTTTCATAATTTCCTCTGGTTCGTTACCGGTTAGAAAACTATGAAATACAATTCATGTTTAATTAAAAATAATGATTCAGCAATACCATTCATTAACAGGTTCATCGCCATTGACGATAGTCTTTGGGTTTGAGCTCCACATGCAGTACAAATTCTCTCCATATTCGATGTTGGCTCTGTGCTCCAATCTTCCTTTTGTCGCCAGAATATTCGCCCAATCCTGACTGGTTTTACATAACTGAAGACGAATAATGTAATCAGTTGATAAAAATCATATGCATTCTATACTCAATAGCAAATATGGTAAAATATAAACTACACCCATTTGAAGGAATAATTCTTTTCAAAAAAATATATGAATGTCAAGAAAAACAAGCAGGGTTTCGAGCCCATCAGACAGAAGGCATGTGATTGTTACTTTTTGCGTTATTAGTCCTTTTCTTTTTTTTTCATTTTTACCAATTCCATTGGTAGTAAGCTTCCGAATGGATCCGTAGCAATTCCGTGTCCTTGTGACAGGCATAAAACCATAACCACATGCTACAGGGTGTCTACAGGAAGATATTTAACCTTTTGTATAAATCTATTTCATTAAACCTTTTCATTAAATCTTTTATTTAACCTTTTGTATAAATCTATTTCATTAAAAGGTTAAATATCTCCGAAACTGCTCGGCCGTGAGAGCTATAATCACACCAAATTTCAACTTGCTATTTGCATTTTTTCTCACATTATCGTGCGTACAAAAATGAAAAACAAATTAAAAAACGAACAAACGGGAATATATCTGGATCTTTGTATGGACGGGTATACGTATTTTGATTGATCTAGATAGTGGCCACCGAGACAAGTATTTCGAAAAAAAAATTGAAATCCGTCCAGTAGTTCATGAGATATTTGAAGAAATATATTTACACACAAGATTGAATATCTCAAGAACCGCTCGGCTGATTGCGTTCATCCACAATATCAACCTTTTATGTTATAAAAGCTAGAAGCGTACAACATTTCAACTCGCTGTCTCCATTTTTTATTAAGTTATCGTGTAAACAAGATTTTTCATGAAAAAATGGAAAAACGGCAATATCTTCAAATTTTGTCTGAACGGGTATATATATTTTGATTAATCTAGATAGAGGCCATCGAGACGAGTATTTCGAAAAAATTGAAATCAGTAGAGTAGATTTTGAGATATTTAGGAAAAACGAAATTTAAAGAAGTTGTTATATCTCACGAAATACTGGACCGAACGGGCTGAAACTGCGCACCAAAGTGGAGCTTTATCATAGCTACCATGAGCCAAAATTTCAGGCTTTCATCGACAAATTTCACCGTATTTATGTTGAATTTTCTCAAAATTGATCACCAAAAACCCAAGTTATCACCCACATACATACAAACTGGCCCTAAAAACATCATGTCTTCACGTTTCATAACATTCTAGACGATGTGCCATCAAAATCAGAAAATCGAAAAATCGCCCAAATGCAAGGCTTCCATTCGGAAGCAAAAATGAATTTGATAGAGAAAAATATTAATGCGATATTTTGCTTACCTGTTTATTAAGTCTGAGTGGTGGTACTCCATGTCTCGCGCGGAAGAAATTATGTGTCTCTAGACAAAGATCGATGAATTCCTTGCCGGGTCCAGATCTGCGCACAGATGGTTTAGGCGTGTCAGTCTTTGTTATCTACAACACATATATAAATAATCCCCTTATGTGATAGCACAATATTTCATTGAGAGTGAGAAAAACTGAAACCAAAACTCTCCACTCATTGCATATGAAAAATTGATCGAGTAAATGGGAGCACCCGATAGCCTAGAAACCCTATACCACGTTTCAACGATCATAAGAAATTGTGAGAGACTGACCGAGAGCACGGGATTCCCATAGTTTTATCTTCGGCTTCACTGAAATCTGGCGATTCCTCTGCTCAGGTGAATGATTAATAATTGAAGGGAAATGTGAAAGACTATCAAAAGTTTATCCTGAGGATTTTTATCCAGATATCCACTGTATTTATCTATTTTACGGCTCAGGCGGTCTCTTTGTAGATAATTTCAGGCAGTGTATTACCTGAAATCGCCTGGTGATGAAGATTTAATGACAAAAGACTGCTGATGCAAATGACACAAATTGCGGGTAATTCGAAGTACTCGCGGTTTCGTCATTCATACACGATATGATTTTCATTATCCAGTATTGAATTATGGGATTAGGGCCAAGGCTGATGGTTGGGAACTGCAGCGGGCAATTTGTGTCTATTTGTGGAGGGATTTAGGATTTAATAAAGTGGGGATTGAGGGTATTCAAGTAATTAAACGATTTTTCACATTGTCTAATTTTGATTGGCGGATGAAAAGATAATTTTCAATGGTTATTTGGTAAAAACGCTTAATTTTTTTACCTATTTTTACTATTAAACGAACAGAAATTATTCAAATCATATGAATTTCTACTATGTTACGGCCCGGGTGTACTATCTTTCGAATGTTATCTGGATTTTTTTTATCTTTCGTAATCCAAAATTGTCAATTGAGTGGTACATCATGTAGAAATTCCCAAACATTATGATAGAATGATGAAAAAAATAGAAAAAATTTTGAACTTTTTCAAAGAGCGTTTTTAATTGAGATTCAGAATCAGTTGAAAAAAGTGGAAATTACAAATATCTGATTCGCTGTGGCAAATTATCTATTAGCTGTCATTTTCCATAGTGGATAACAAAACACTAACTCCTCATGGGAAGTGACAGCTAGATATCTCAATTTTCAAAACAGTGGTATGTAGTCATCTGCCATTTTTATGTGATAAAAGTGTGATTAAAAAATNTCTGTGCAGCGTGGGAAAAGATTTACGAAATCAGTCTTCCCCCTGCATGATATTGGGTGACAGGCCGCCATTTGTCACCGTAAATCAGATACATTTTTCAATTTCTTGTTATTCAACTTATTCTAAATATAAACTAAAAATGCTCTTTGAAAAAATTAAGAATTTTTTCTGCTTTTTTTTTATTATTCATTCATAATTTTTCAAAACTTCTGCACGATGCAGGACTTAATTGACAATTTTAGATGACGAAGGATGAAAAAAAAATCGAGATAACTTTCGAAAGATAGTACAACCGGGCCTTAAATTGTAATTTCCTCCTGTGATTTAAAACGGTACAAGTCAATTTTGACCATTGACCTGTTTTCAATGAATATCTCGGAATCTAAGGGAGATATCAAAATATTTGTTATGACCTTTTTTGAAGAGCCGATTGAGAGCTACAACAAATGTAATTACGAAAATTTTGCTATCTCCCTTAGATTCCGAAATATTTGTCAAAAACTCAACCGGGAGATAAGTCGACTTAAACCGTTTCACCACTTCGCGACTGAATTTTTCTGCCTATTTTACATAAATGGCGCGAATTTCTATATTAAACAAAACAAAATTAGCTGTGAAGGAGTCGAATTTCAAAAAACGAATTCGTAATTGTTATTGTACAGATTTTTTCAAAAATTTTGAAAAAAAAGAAACCTGTGTAGCTCAAAAATTGAAGGCCCTGGACTATTTTCAACATTTTAAACATCTGCGGGGGAAACGAACAATAAACAATCTTTTTTTGCACTAATTATTCGTTTTTAGACATATATAACCAATAGCCCGCGCCTTTGAAAACTCATTAAACTCAGTCTCCCCTTAAATCTTCACAATGGGTGAGAATTTAGAATCAACGTGAAAATTGGAATCATTTAACCTGATTTAAGCTTTCTCAACGGTCTTTATACATCCATTACACGGACTTTGGGATTGAACATCTCTTCATGCTCAATGACGAATCGAAAAGCATTGAAACTCTTTTTTCTGCGCCTCGTTTACCGCACGACCGATATGTCAGCGCGTGCCGTCTCGTTCTCATTCACCACGGTTTCCTCTTCCTCACTATTTTCACTCGATATATAATACATCGACTTTCCAGATTCTACCGGAGTATTTCCGGTTGTCATGACTAACTTCAATTGATTCTCCCTCTGATTGATGGTCTGGCTTGAAATGATACTTAATTTGTTTGCAGAAGTAATGAATTCTAGTAAACGGAGTGAGGGACGTGTAATGAGGGAAATTGACTAAAACAATTTGAGACTTCAATGCGAAAGCATTTCAGCTGTAGACTTTTGTGTTAATCTTTGGAACATCTGTATTTAGGAGAAAATCAACTGTTGAAAATTTTAACTGAAATATTTTTACATCGAGCGGCAATTCCACCGGAATTTCAAGGAATTTCGTTCTTGAAAATTCACAATTCAATGAAACAAGCAGGGGACAAGCGAGCATATGACAGTGAGCATGTCACAGAGTGATGTCTTATTTTTTTTCACCATCAGTACATTGAACGCGGGTTTCCGAATGATCTGAAATATTACAAGAGTTTATAGCTTCACAACACTAACTAGCAGCAAAAATTTCAGATGGTTACTGCCACCTCCATGGGTGCTATCAAAATTCCAATGTTTCGAATACTTCGTATGAGTGGGTATACATATTTTCTATCCAAATTTCAATTTGATATCTCGATTTTTGCACAAGCTAGAGTGTTTACAAAGTTTTTTATGAAAAAAAAGAAAAACGAGAATATCTCGAAAACTTTGTATGAATGGATATATATGTTTTGATTGATTTAGACAGAAGGCATCGAAACGAATGTTTTGAAAAACGAAAAAGTGAAATCGGTTGCGTAGTTTTGAAGATATTCCATGTAAAAGATTTTCGGAAAAAGTCGAATATCTCCGAAACTACTGATGCGATTGAACCCACCTTCAATACGAAATATTGTTATCATAAGAGGAAGATTCTGTCTAAATTTCAAGTTGATATCTCGATTTTTGCACAAGCTAGAGTGTTTACAAAGTTTTTTATGAAAAAAAAGAAAAACGAGAATATCTCGAAAACTTTGTATGAATGGATATATATGTTTTGATTGATTTAGACAGAAGGCATCGAAACGAATGTTTTGAAAAAAGAAAAAGTGAAATCGGTTGCGTAGTTTTGAAGATATTCCATGTAAAAGATTTTTGGAAAAAGTCGAATATCTCCGAAACTACTGATGCGATTGAACCCACCTTCAATATGAAATATTGTTATCATGAGAGGAAGATTCTGTCGAAATTTTAAGTTGATATCTCGATTTTTGCACAAGCTAGAGTGTTTTACAAAGTTGTTTTATGAAAAAACAAAAACTAGAATATCTCGAAACCTTTGTATGGACGGGTATATATATTTTGATTGCTTTAGATAGAAGGCGTCGAAACGAATATTTTGAAAAAAAATAAATCGAAATCGGTACACTAGATTTGAAGATATTTGCAGAGAATGATTTAAAAATGAATCGTTTTTTCTCAAAAACTATTACCCCGATCGGGCTGAAATTTTGCACAGAGCTAGTCCACATCAGGACCTATAATCTGACAAAAGTTCAGATTTTTGGGAATTACTTTAGCCACTTAATTACTCAATTTTCTAAAAATTGACCACCGGGAAAGGGCGGTGGATGTGGTCACATACAGAAATGGTCGCCAAACCTCGTATTTTTACGTTTTAGACCATTCTACATCATTTCTAATCACAATTAGGGAATGTGAAAATCGAAGGATTGCAATGCTGCCATTCGGAAGCAAAAATCAATGGAAATTGTAAATTTTGGTTCAATTATTGCATGGAAATTGCGGGGAGGTTCACCCCCGGGAAAAAACTTTTTCATCACTTGTGATAAATACCTGTGCCGAGGAGTACCGTGCAGAATCAGGTGAAGCCGATGATGACCTCGCACTACTGCAGGACATGCCATCGCTCCCAAGACTCCCATGAAAACTCCCATGTAACGAATTCGACAGAGGTCCAGGAGACGCTGGAGACGCTGTCAGAGGCGACTTCGACCTCACTGAATCCGCACGTGATCTACAATCCCAAAAACTCCCTTCAAACCAATTCTAAAATTGTATTCAATAGTAAAATTGCGGAACAGGTCGAATAAATTAAATTTCAAGATCGGCTTTTCTATCTAAATACACGGCGAGAAAAATTCAATAAAAATTACCAGAAAAAAAAACGTAAAAATTACGCTTCGAAACGTAATCTGCGAGCGACGTAAAATTCAATAAAAATTGTTGAGCGTTCAAGAATTTTTGATTTGGGAGGCATAATAATTTGGGAAGTTTCTGTAAGATTTTACTTCTTCGGGAAAAATTACGTGACAATGTCGTACTTTGTTCGGTGATGAACCTGAAAATTTACTGAACGTTTCAGATTTATTCTCTTTCGGTCCTATAAAAATTGCCGGAAAACGATTCCTCGTTGCGGATTACGTGAATTGTTTCGTAATTTTTACTGAATATTTCTCTCCGTGTACCTCTGAATCCAGAGGAGATGGTATTAATTTTTATGAGAATAAACCCTTTCGTGCATTACACTGTTAGGAATTTTTTCCTAACGAAATAAAATTCAGATTCATAATTGAGAAAAATATTTACCTCAATTTAGACAATTTTCAATCACTTGAATTTACATCTGAATCAAATGTTTTCGCAATAATAACACATGTGGCAATTTCGTGTAAATAGATGTTGTTAAAAATTTCAAGACTTTTCACTTGAAATTTTAAGTTTTTTATTGCCTAACGGTGCATGAGGTGTGAGGTCTCAACAAAAATGCCGTTATCTCCAGAAGATTCAGTCATACCTATCCAAATGTCATCTTGAAATCGAGTTATTTTGATTTATTATTCCACTGATGAATGGTTTGACATTGATTTTTTGAAAGGCTTGCAAAGTGACATAAATCTAGTGTTTAATGATATGTTTCCTAATCTTATTTAAGAAAGAAAAATGACAGAAATTATTCAGTTGGTGAATGAGGAAGCAGGATGAATAGATCGCAATATCATTAGTTTTTGAAAAACATCTTGGAATCGACAAGGCCAAAATTTTGATAAGACCTCCTTTCATAACTCTATTTTTCTTAATAGTTCTTAATATAATTTTCTTCTGATTGGTGCACGAAACGTCGAAGACCGCAATTCTATTGGCCCATCCATGCTGGTGATGGAGGAAATGATCACAAAAATTTTTCCTATAGTATTTTTCAGTGACAGTTCCTATTTTTAGTCTTTACTCGTTTGTATGTTAAAACAGGTCGAGAAAATGCAACATCTAGGGGAGAGTAGGGCAAAATGAACCATGGGGCAAAATAAAACAGTCAAAAAAACGACTGTTTGACGCAATTCAAGCAAAAAAATTGCAGGCGGCTGTATCTTCGATACAGCTGCAATTGTACGTGGATACGTCCATGGTCTTTCCTTCTTTCTCGAATTTCATAGAAACTTCTTGCATTCCCCCAAATTTTCTAGAAACTCCCTGAATTTCCTCGAAATTTTTAGAAACTCCTTGAATTTTTACGAAATTTCACGAAACTTCTGNTGTTAAAACAGGTCGAGAAAATGCAACATCTAGGGGAGAGTAGGGCAAAATGAACCATGGGGCAAAATAAAACAGTCAAAAAAACGACTGTTTGACGCAATTCAAGCAAAAAAATTGCAGGCGGCTGTATCTTCGATACAGCTGCAATTGTACGTGGATACGTCCATGGTCTTTCCTTCTTTCTCGAATTTCATAGAAACTTCTTGCATTCCCCCAAATTTTCTAGAAACTCCCTGAATTTCCTCGAAATTTTTAGAAACTCCTTGAATTTTTGCGAAATTTCACGAAACTTCTGGAATTACCTCGAAATGTCTAGAATTTTCTAGAATTCCGATAGATGGCGCTGCACATAAGGATCATTCCCCCAAAATGACACCCCATATTGAAACCATAGACATATCCACGTCAAAATTTTTTTTTTACATAGGGGAGGTTGGGGTGAAATGGACACTTGACTTTTTTTGAAATATTAGTGACGGGTTAAAATGTTGATGAGATTTAATAATTTTTTTTCAATACAAAGATCAATTCTTTCCCTTTGTGATGAACCTAAACTGAGCTCTATTGTTACATTTGTTTCTGAGTTATGAATAATTTTTAAAAAGTCTAAAGTGTCCATTTTACCCTACCCTCCCCTATTTTTTTTTGTTAACTTTTTGTTATTCTTGGGAGGACTGATGAGAATAATAATTCTCCATTTAGTAGAATAGAAAATCATTGAGACATTTTGATGGGCGAAGATTTTGTTAATGGATTATTTGACTGAAATTTAGCATCACATTTTCGCTTTTGCCCCTTTGGGTCTCCCCCTGGGCCTTGGACTCTGGATTTTGCTGTTTCATTTTCTTTTTAATTAATCCGTTGACTAAATCTTCACTCGCCAAAACCTCTCAATAGTTTGCCACTCTACTGAATGGAAAATTATTTTTCTCATGCGTATTCCCAAGAATAAAAAAAATTGGTAAAAAAATATTTAATAAAAAAATTTTTTTGCTTGAATTGCATCAAACGGTCGTCTTTTTGACTGTTTCATTTTGCCCCACTCTTCCCTAAATCATTTTATTTTTGACATCTTCAAATTCAAGGGAAATAATGACATTCTTTTGAAAACCTTTCTTTATTTCCAGAAAAAAAGAAAAGTTTTCAAGAGAATATTTTCAACCTCTTGCATTCCAACATATTCATCAAAATATCACCTCAAAGCCGTATGTTCCCACTTCACAAATGAATAATTCAACATTGAATTTCACAAAAGCTTTTAGCAATTGCATAAATCCATTATTCCCCTGATGTGTTCCTGAATTTTCATCTCTCAGTTGAAATTTCGTGTTTTCTCTCCAAATATAAACAGTTTCTCCCCTCAATTTTAAACTTCATTATTATTCTCAGCTTCAAAAGTTCATTAAAATACCAATTATTCAACAAATTGTGAAACAATGACCATTAACTGATGCAGTTACGATCAATAAACTCGTGCTAAGCACTGAACTACCAATAAACACGCTATTGTGCTAAGAAAAGTTTTTTCATCCATTTGAAAAGTTGGTTTTATCATAATTTTAAGGTCAATTACGTGTAAGAGTATTTGAACATTGATGCAAACTCAATGTCAATGTCGTGTGTTAACCCGGAGGCAGTTGGAACAAGTGGAGAAAGCAGAATTTTCAAGGCTCAGGCAACAATTCGTGACGAGCTGATTTTATTTTTTTTTTCGTGGAGTTGCAGTCTGTTTTCGACGTTTTACGACTGCACTCGAGACTCCATCCGTTTGCTTCGTTTTTTCAGAGGGTAATTATACTGTTTCTCCTTGAGGTGAGTGACAATGAAATCTAGTCTAAGTTTTTCTAGGCGTAAAAATACAGATAGCAGATCAGAGATAATTCAGTCGTCAGATGAGTTGATTTTTCAATTGAATTTTGATAATTTTCTCTCCGTCCATGATTGTCATGACTCACAACTGATACATCTGAATTTTTCTTCTCAATTTTTATATATCTAATCTTATCATCTTGATCTTGATCAGCATATCAATTTATTCTTAAAAATGGTATTCTACAAATATGTACACTGTTAGAAATTTCTGGAAATTTCAGTTACAGCGTCATCTGAATTCCCGATTGTCGTGGGGTTGAATTCAATTTCAAACAAAATCGTTCACTAAATTTCTCATTCATCTTTATGATCGTTTAACGAAAAATTTTTCAGGTTAAACAATCATTGATTTTTTAATGAAGTTTGAATTTTCAAACGCATTGTGAAATTTGAACATCACGTACAATTAAATTTTCAATAGATTGAGAATTCAGAAAAGTTGTTGCCGGAATTTTCAATATTTTCAAGTTTTTTCAGTGCCGTATGGACCTGAAAATCGAAAATTACCCGAATATTCAAGAAATTAACTGATTCGTCAACGAAGAAATATACAGGAATTTCATGTAACTTTGTTGTTGAAAATTTAAAGCTTTTTCACTTGAAATTTAAAGAGTAATTTTCTAACAGTGTAATAGTCTGTAAATAACCAATGTGTTCTTTTAGCGCTATAATTGTCCCGTAGGTCTCTATACAGCAATAAGTAAATAAATAAATTTTGAGTGTTGGACAGTTTCTCTGATGGCAAAAATCTCCGAAATTTTGGATAGTCAAGTGGACGTGTAGTCCTCCTGGCGAAAGAATGTTCCTTCTCATCACATGATTGATTCCCGTGCCTTCTTTTCCCCGAAATTTTTGTTTTATCCCACAAAAAAATCAATTACCATAGCACTTCCCTTATTTTTCAACAATTACGGGTATTAAGGATGTTTATTCAAAATCGCAATTACTTTAAAAAAAATGATTTTTTTTTCAACTGAGAGATGAAGATACTGGTGTATCTTCATCTCTTATAATTTAAGAGATGATCGATGTTCATTATTTAGAAATGAAATAGACAAAATGCACCAAATGCATGCGCTAACATGCGCTCATATGGGATAGAATCATTCAAATATTTCCTCTTTTTGCCCGGGCACCCAAGATTTTTCTCTGGCCATTGGATTCAGTATGATTTTACACATTACTTTCTATTTTTATTTCTATTTTTAGAGTCTTCTAGTAGGTTAATTATCAATTTGAGCATAAATTTCATAAGAGCCCGTGTATAAGGAAAAATTAGTTTATTCATTTCTGCCAAGACTATTGCTAATTTTTTTAACGTTAGAAATGTTAGTTTTATATGTTCTGCTGTCAGCCGAAAAAATAACAGAATTTTCCTTGATCATGAAAAGAAATACATGTTCGTGTCACGAGACGCTGCGCGCCACGAAATTGGCGTTTTGCAGGTCCCTCGACACGAAAATTAATATTTACACCTCGCCATGGAAAACATCACCCTCCCCCACGTGCTTGCCATCCTCGCCTTCGGCTCAGAAGACAATCTTGCCCGTGGGGGGGGGGATCTGTTTTCCAAGGCTCGGGCATGTAATGTACTGTTTCCGTACTGACGTTCACTTTTCCCAGTCCGGGGATTGGTATTGACCCTTCCCCGAACTGGCGAAAGTGAAAGTCACTACGGAAAAAATATCGTTCGCGCCTAGTGCCATAGGGGTTTTCGGTTCGTGTGATTGGCACGCCGAGTCGAAGGCGAGGCGTGCCAACCTCACACCCGTCGAAAACCCCAGTGGCACTGGACGCGAAATATACTATTACTGACAATTTACCGACACTGGCTATACATCCTTAATCGGGTCACTTTGAAAACTGAAAGGAAATTGATTAGAGGAGATTCAAAATTATTCATTGATTTTTCACTTATTATTCAACGTTATAATTGGTTGATTTTTCTCCATGCATTTCTTTCATTCATTTTTATAATATATTTGAAATTTGAGTGAAGGAAAGGAAGCTTCACACAAATAAATGACGTGATATTCCGATATTTCCCCTACAATTACTCATAAAAAATTTAGTCAACTAGGTAATTACCCGGGTAATGAGTGATTATAGGATCCACTCAGGAGATGTTTTTGTAAAAATAGAAATGCCCTAGAAAATTATCTGACATTCTCTCCTCAGATAAATCATCACCAAGATAACGTCGTCATTAAAAACAGCAGTAAAAATGTGTTGTAAGTCTAGCTATTCGAATGAATTATTCCTCTGGGTCGATTCATCCATAAAAATGATCATTAATGAAGATGAGATATTCATTGCAAGCACGGTCTGGCCATCCACATGATCAAGCAGTTCTTCATCTATTTTTTTCTAGTACAGCTAAGTGATGAAGCGACTATATTGCTGAGATGAAAGTCTAAGGATATTTCTGATAATAGTGAGCTCTGACCATAAGTCACGGACAATTTGAGGTTGAACACTGGACGGATTAATTCAACAATGAAATTTCATGGTTTAATAGGCGCGTGATACGTGAATTTATGGCCAGGATTAGTGGGTTAATGGCTTCTAATGAAACTTAAGCCTTTTTCAACAGAAAGTTGAGTACCTTTCGATATCAAGTTGGTCTACAAAGGCAACCACCTTCTTTTTGGTTCCACTTACGTTCAGCGATGGCATACTACAAGAGTAATGTCAATTATACAATTATCAAGAGATATAACGCTAATTGGGGATGGAAGTGATGGCAACATGACTGTTTAAATCCCGGGAGGATTATCTTTCGAACGTTATCTCGATTCTTTTTCCATCTTCACTGTTAGAAATTTCTTGAAATTTCAGTCACAATGTCACCTGAATTTTCAATGTTGTGAGTTTGAATTCAATTTCAAATGAAAACATTCATTAATTTTTTTATTCATCTTGAAAATTCAAGAAAATTGGGTTTCTCATTTTAAAGAATCACTGATTTTTTAATGAAAGCTTGAATTTCCAAACTCATCATGAAAATTGAACATCACATACAATTCAGTAGCGCAGTGGTAAAACGGTACAAGTCAATTTTGACTATTGACCAGTTTTCAATGAATATCTCGGAATCTAAGGGAGATAGCAAAATTTTTGTCATAAGCTTTTTTGTAGAGCCGATTGAATGCTACAACAAATGTAATTACGAAAATTTCGCTATCTCCCTTAGATTTGGGAATATTCCTCAAAAACTCAACTGAGAGATAAGTCGACTTAAACCGTTTTATCACTTCGCTATTGAATTCAATTTTCAATAAATTGAAAATTCAGAGAAGTTATTGCCTGAATTTTTAAAATTTTCACGGTTTTTCAGTGCCGTTTGGACCTGAAAATCGAGAATTACTTGAATATTCAAGAAATTAAAAGATTCGTCAATAAAGAATTCTACAGAAATTTCACGTAACACTTTGTTGTTGTTAAAAATTTCAAGCTTTTGCACATGAAATTTCAAGAGTAATTTTCTAACAATGTTCATAATGTGAAATATATCCCAATTTCCATTGGATTTTACATCACGGGAGTCCCTAACAATTATGATTGTAAAATAAAAAAAATTAGAAAAAGAACTGAGCATTTTCAAAGAGTGTTTTTAATAAAGATAAAAAATTAAGCCCGATAGAGAGGAAATAGTAAATGGATAATTTATCATGGTAACTACAGATTTGACAGTCATTGACTACTGTGACAAGTGACGACCTACATCAAATTATTAATTTGCAATTTCCTCCCTATTGAGTTTATTTCCCAATATTATTCAAAAACGCTCTGTGAAAATGTTCAGAGAGAGAGAGAGAGAGAGAAATGTTCAGTAAAAAATTACGGAACTCACAGTTGGCTCACCGATTACGGAATCGACTCAGACAATTCCACTGACGGTATCGTATTTTTTCACAGGAGATTCAGGTAAAAATTACGGAACGCTCTGAAAAAATCCTGTGATTTTAGGTAAAAATTACGTGACAGTTCCGCAAAATATCCTACAACCACATTGCACTCTGGAATTATGGAAAAGATACGTAATTTTTATTGAATATTTCTCTCCGTGCAATCACAATTTTTGGAGACTCCAGGGCTATGTCAAACTGAATAGCAATTAAAGATCATTTCAGATCATCAAAATAAAAAAAAAACAATCAAGATCACGTTCGAAAGATAATCCCCCCGGGCTTTCATTATTAACCTCTCCTGTTCGAGGCCCTTCTGTTGCGAAGTCTAGTGAGGGCTCAATAAAACTAATGCTATAACATTCAGCTCTCCAATGGCGTCAGTTTACTTTCATTATCTCTCATAGATAAATGATGATAAATTGTTTTATCAGAAACATTTTTGTTGCAAATTGAAGTCATCACAAAAAATGTTTCAAAAAATATTAGGATTTATCTGACTCAATAAATCAATAGTGAAGTGGTCAAACGGGTTAAGTCAATTCCATTCTAGCGCCAGTTCTCGATGAATATCTCAAATTCTAAAGGAGTTTGCGAAATTCTCCTAAAAATCTTTTTTGTAAAGAAAAGTGGAGACTGTCGAAAAAGATTTTACAAAAATTTCGCTATCTTTCTTAAATTCCGAGTTATTCAACAAAAACTCAACTGGGAGCTAAGTCAACTAAAGTACCTGTACCCTTACGGTAAATTCAAAGATTATTAAAAACTGCAAAAAAATTGCAGAACACTCGATTAGATTCGGAATTCTAATTTTTTTCTCAATTTAATTATCCTTTTGGTTTTTCAAAGAAGAAATGTTTAAAAATCAGGATTTAACCCAGTGTCTTATGTGAATATCAACATTTCGATTGTAATCAAAGATTAAAATCTGAATTTTTTTTTCATTAGATGTGAAAAAATCAAGAATTTTTTGACACCTCATAAAAAATAATCCACCATTTGCAAACAAGTTTTATTATTTATTTATAAGAGGGAAATGTTTGAAAAAATATCAATATTTTGCGAAATTTAATTTAGATAATACTGACTGGGTATGAATTTTATCGAATTTTTTTCATGCAATTTAATTGAAAAATTGGAAAACCGAAAATATTCAAAAGTACAGCGTAGCCCGGCCGAAGGGTAGAGCTGCTTTAAACCGATTGACCACTTGACTACTGAAATAATCGTATAGGATAAAAAAAACAGTAATAATCAGTCGAATTTCTAATGAATATCTCTCAACCTGAAGAAGCTAGACAAATTTTCATGATATTTTTGCAAGACTCAAATACAATAAATATTTCCGAAACAAGAACTGGTCCCATTCCATTCTACCTTTCCACTATTCAAGTCTACACACTAACTGTAAACATCTAAATACTCCTTAAAATTAATGAATTCCTGAGAATTCAATACAATCAATACAAGAAAAAAAATTCATAGCAAATAGAAGAGAGAAAGAGCCCATTGTTTGATTAAAACTCAAAAGAATATTGTTGAAACGTCATTGTTTGCCCACGAAACCCGGCATTTTTGAAACAACAAAAAATGGAAAGTAAAATATCCTTTCAAGCCTCGTGTAACAGTTGGTGCGCGTCAAAACGTAACGGACCGTAACAACGGAGATCGGCTTCCGTGTAACCGCAGAAAGAAAATAGATTGTCAACCCCCTTTACTCGGAGTGTGGAGACAGGAGAGGAACGAACGGTAAATCAGAGGCAAATGTACGGTCATCCTGTCTCGAAATATCCTGTTCCTCCATCCACGGCCGCGAAATATTATTTATCATCTCAACAAATTTAGGAACGTCTGACTGTTATTATGTAGACGAGTTATGCTATTGTGAAGGGGCTCTAGATTTGCCTGTTCCTTTATCTCTTGTCTGGAGGTTAAAGATATTGAAGTGCTTTGACCATTTTTGTTTTCATTGGGTAATTGTCAAAGTTTGAAATGTGACAAGAGTTTTTTGAGAACGTCTTTCCTTAAATCAAGAAACTCGTGGCTTGAAAATTTTCAAGAGCAAAATATCTTGCACTAACAAAAAAAAAACTTTGTCCTTCAGACGAAGACAATTTCTGGATTACAAGAAAACGATTTCTCAAATCAGGTAAAATTGAATTAATTCATTGGATAGTTTTTTAGCCTCAATTCCAAATTATTTTAACCAATTGAATTGATTTGAGAACTCGCTCTCTCGATATGAGCCAATTGCCCTCATCTTTCGGACAAGTATAAAATTTCTTGGGCAAGATGTGTTTTTCTTAGTGTGAGATATTGTGCACTTGATAATTTTCGATTCATGAATTTCTTGATGCAATTGCTTGAAGTCGTACTTCTCAAAGAACTCTTGTTTTCTCAGTATAGGCCAAAATTATCTCCGATCCACTGTTAGAAATTTCTTGATATTTCAGTCACAGCCCCATCTGAATTTTCGATGTTGTAAAGTTGAATGCAATTTCAAATTAAAGCGTCCACTAAATCTCTCATTTATCTTGAAAATTCAAGAAAATTGGGATTTTTATGTTAAACAATCGTTGATTTTACAATGAAAGCTTGAATTTCCAAATTGTGAAAATTAAGCATCACATACAATTTAATGTTCAATAGATTGAGAATTTCGAAAAGCTGTTGCCTGAATTTTCAAAATTTTCAAGGTTTTTCAGTGCGGTATAGACCCGAAAATCAAGAATTACTTGAATATTCAATAAATAACTGATTTATCAACGAAGAAATATACAGAAATTTCACGTAACTTTGTCGTTGTTAAAAAATTCAAGCTTTGTCGCTTAATTTCTAAATTTACCGCGGAAATTGAACATCTAATACAAGTCAATTTTCAATAAATTGAGAATTTGGAAAACTGTTGCCTGAATTTTCAAAATTTTCAAGGTTTTTCAGTGCGCTATAGACCCGAAAATCAAGAATTACTTGAATATTCAATAAATAACTAATTTATCAACGAAGAAATACACAGAAATTTCACGTAACATTGTCGTTGTTAAAAAATTCAAGCTTTGTCGCTTAATTTCCAAATTCATCGCGGAAATTGAACATCTAATCCAAGTCAATTTTCAATAAATTGAGAATTTGGAAAACTGTTGCCTGAATTTTTTCAGTGCCGTATAGACCCGAAAATCAAGAATTACTTGAATATTCAATAAATAACTGATTTATCAACGAAGTAATATACAGAAATTTCACGTAACTTTGTCGTTGTTAAAAAATTCAAGCTTTGTCGCTTAATTTCCAAATTCATCGCGGAAATTGAACATCTAATACAAGTCAATTTTCAATAAATTGAGAATTTGGAAAACTGTTGCCTGAATTTTCAACATTTTCAAGGTTTTTCAGTGCGCTATAGACCCGAAAATCAAGAATTACTTGAATATTCAATAAATAACTGATTTATCAACGAAGTAATATACAGAAATTTCACGTAACTTTGTCGTTGTTAAAAAATTCAAGCTTTGTCGCTTAATTTCCAAATTCATCGCGGAAATTGAACATCTAATACAAGTCAATTTTCAATAAATTGAGAATTTGGAAAACTGTTGCCTGAATTTTCAACATTTTCAAGGTTTTTCAGTGCGCTATAGACCCGAAAATCAAGAATTACTTGAATATTCAATAAATAACTGATTTATCAACGAAGAAATATACAGAAATTTCACGTAACTTTGTCGTTGTTAAAAAATTCAAGCTTTGTCGCTTAATTTCTAAATTTACCGCGGAAATTGAACATCTAATACAAGTCAATTTTCAATAAATTGAGAATTTGGAAAACTGTTGCCTGAATTTTCAAAATTTTCAAGGCTTTTCAGTGCGCTATAGACCCGAAAATCAAGAATTACTTGAATATTCAATAAATAACTGATTTATCAACGAAGAAATATACAGAAATTTCACGTAACTTTGTCGTTGTTAAAAATTTCAAGCTTTTTCACTTGAAATTTCAAGAGTAATTTTCTAACAGTGCTGCTCAAAATTAGTTTTGAATTTTTTGTAGTTAAAAACAACAATCCATTTGGCTAAAGGCCGTCGCGCGATGGCCTATTGTAAGAAATTATTTTTTAATGTATTTTTCTTGCAATAAATTCCGTCAAAAATGAAAAAGAATGATTCAACAATCCATCAACAATAACGTTGGAGAGGTGATTACCCCTGATTTTGTTTCATTAAATAAAAATTCAACTCAGAAGAAATCCCCAACATATAAATTTCGGATATGATTACAAATTTCCAAATCCCCTTAAACATCCTCTCCCACAATTACACGAAAAAAAAACCACTCACCTGCTCGACTTTGGTGTAACAATATCCCTCGTCTCGGACGTGTACTTCCTCTCCGCCCTTCCCCCATTAAAAAGTTCAACAGTCTCTCGCGTAACAGTCTCGAGCAACGGTTCACCACCCTTTCGCCCTTTGCTGAAGGTCCTCTGGTCGGTTTTCCTGGTCATGACGACCCGCGAGAGCGGTTGATTGAACTCGTGACCGTGCATCGTCGGTGGAATCATCGCCAGCGACTGTGAAAGTGGTCCACCGACGCGTGGCGATCTGCGGACAAATGTTTTCACTTCATTTGTGATAACTCTTCACACGCCACCACCTTTCTGATCTATTGTTCAAACGCAGCGTTCAAACGCATGGGAAACGACAGCTACAGCGCACTGTCCAACGGACCGAGTGATACTGACGAAAGTTTTTGAATTTGCTACACACCAAGGAGAATGCTCGACTTGTGGTGCTGTGGAGTGGTGGTCAATTAAATGGTCATTGCCTACGGTTTTTATTATTATTAATTTTTATTCATTATTATTTTTATTAATTACCTGTCACTTAGGGGGGTATAACATCGCTAGCCGGGTCAATTCATTTATTTCACGTCTAGTATTCAAATCCATCTTTATAATGGTTTGGGAATGATTGGGATAACATTAGTATTCGAATATCTTCAAAGGTATTATGTACTCCTTTGAAGCAAAACCGTGTAAGTTGTGGGTTCTTGAGTGGAGTGTTGCTGTGGTCCTTTCTTATTATATCCATCTGGTTTATTATTAAATTGAATTTAATGGATATAAGGTATTCTTTCTTCAACTCCGTCGTACCTTCTTACGACAATAAATTAATTTCATATGGTAATACCTTCATTTATTGGAGAATTAAAATTCTTTTCTTTCAAATGAGGTAACCAAGTTCTTAAAGGAACCAACAGTTTCCTGGTGAAGAATTCAATCCTCACCAACTCTTGGCGTAACCCAGGACTCACGACCAGGACGTAGTTGATGGAGAGTCCCAAAAAGAAAATATATAAAAATTTATTAATTACGTATATTCGAACTTCATCGATGGCCTGTGGTATTGGTGTCTCATTGTTTACCAAACGATTTCTAATCATCCTCCGCTTTCAGAATTTATTAATGTTAATATGTCCCCGCCAACGACCTCAAACCCACTTAGGGGTGGACTCCCTATGACAGGAGAGGTTCGAAGCCATACATAATTTTATAATGATAATAATATGAGATTAGATAAATCAATGAAAACAAAGTAAATACAAAGATGAACATAATGGCCCACTGATAGAATGATTCATTTATTCCAAACGAAATTCGTTAACTATTAACGAATGAACATTTGGGGAGACCAAATAGACCCTAGCCTTCAACCAAATCCATTTGTTAACAATAACTAATCCTGTCTATCAGTGCAGCAACTTTGAGAAAATAAAAATTGCAAAAAAATTTAGTAATGTACAAAGTAAAAAATTAAACAAATTATTTCTAGGATTTTTTTGTGGAGTAACTTTGCGAATTATGTCATTAATTCTTTTTCTGTCTATTCGTTTCAATTTATTTATTTGTTCAATTGTTATTGAAATTATTTATGATTAATTGATAATAATGAATGAATGAATGAATTGATCGTTGTAATTTCTTAATAGTCTTAATAATTAAATGATTATTAGTTTTATTAATTGATTTTAATTTCAAGTATTAACCAGTGATAATCATAATCCACTGATAATTGTTTGTAAATCAATTATATAATTAATAAGAATTAAATATTCAATAATAAAAAATATTCGATTTCTTCTTTATTTTTTTTTATTGCGATAAGACAATAATATCAATATTTTAGTTGCAATTTTTTGTATAAACATGCCAATATGTTAAAGATTATTATGACATTCATCTTTTTGTTATAAGTTTATTTATATTTCGTGATAAAAAAAGATTTTTTGATGGAGAAAAAAATTGAAATAATTTTTTTTTCAGATTTTTTCAAAATTAATTTGGTGTTTGTTGTGATGATTTAATGTGAGAATATTTATGAGTGAGATATAAAACTGAACAACAGAAAATTGTACAGAGAGCGTGAGCGGTCGGCCAACCGAGGTACCGCTATTCCGGCTGACCGGGATCACCGCTCTGGAACAAGCGTGCGGCGTTCTTCCCAGTCGCGGATAACATTAGGGAGAGAGAGAAAAAAAAGGATAAACCAGTCTCCTTGTTCTCGTGTTGAGCGGGTGCGCACCCGCGTATTCCTTCTACACGTGCACGCTCACGTGCTGCCAATTGGCACGCACGTGGTCGACGGAAGAGGAGTCTTGGTTTTTTGTTTGGGTGCTCAAGGGGTCTCCTCAGTAATTTTCGCTACAAAACGACAATGTGCTAGTGAATTGAATATGTAATATAATAATCAAAAATGGTAAAAGGAAAATTGTAAAAAAAACTCTGAGTAGTTTTATCGTTTCATTCGTTTTCAATTAATTATTCAAATTTCTGCTTATACATGGGCTTTAAGAACGAAATTTTGTCCCTTACCCCTCACCCTGTTGACAATGTGCTAGCCAACAAAGGAAGCTATATTTATTTATATTAAACTCTCAAAAATAAGAGAATGAAGTCTCATCGAGTTTTGCCAGTCATTTGTTGAATAAATTAACGATAAAAATAATTGGCGTGATGTCTGTCACTATCCAACGCACGCCATGTTTGATGTTTCGTCTCTCTCGAAAATAACCTCACTAACTTAACCATTTTACGCTCCACTCCCCCGCGCGCCTATCCCCGTTTTGCCCCACTGAGGAGACCCCTTAAGGAGGTTGGATTGATGGAGAAAATGCGGGCTGCTAGGAATTTTTCAGGGTTCCGCTGGTGGAGGGCATTATGCAATTACTTTCTACCGGTTAGGGGTAATTAATGGGCTTTTATCACAACAAAAATGGTATGCGACGGGAGTCAATGTTTTCTTTCTAGATTAAGGATGTTTCTCCAAAATCGCAAGTACACTGTTAAAAAATTTTCACTGAAGTTTCCAGGCTTTAGCCTTGAAATATTAAACAAGTGACGGTTTCATTGAGATTTCACGGAATTTTGCCGTTGAAAATTCATGGTTTTCGTGGAAAATTTATGGAAATTTTAAATTTCAGTTAATTTGTTCTATGAAAATTAATGGAAATTAGGAAAATTCAAGCAAAAATGTCCTTGAATTTTCAATTTTTTGAAATTTCAGGGCAATTTATTAGAGGGTTTTCATGTTTACATGGAAATTCATGGAAATTTCGGAATTTTCGTGGTTCTTCCACTGAAAAATCAGGAATGTCTTTGAATTTTCAGGGAAATTTGAGGTTTCATAGACTTTTTTCCGTTAAATTGAATTCAGTGTCATTTCCTGGAAAATTCAGTTAAATTTTTTTAACAGTGTACTTAAAATAATTGATTTTTTTCCAACTGAGAGATCAAGATATTCCCTTCACTTTGATACAAATTCCAATCCATTAACCCATCACAGACGAAAAAATTTAATAGAAAAACCTATCGAATTCGTTAGAAAATTCTATTGAATTTCTATTGAACTGATCTATTAGTTTGTGGCCAATTCTATTAAAATGTTCAATAGAAAATATTCAGTAAAAAAGTCAATAGAATTCAATTTTTCTATATAACTTATTCTATTGAGATATTTTCTGTAGAATTTCCTCGACTCAAATTTTTTCGTTTGATTTTCTTGATGAGAAGAAAAGAAAAATAGAATTTAAAAAAACTTAAAAAATTCGAGTCGAACAAAATCTATAGAAAAATCGAATTCTGTTGACTTTTTCTATTGAATGTTTTCTATTGAAGATGTCAATAGAATCAGCTAAAAACTAATAGAGAGTTTAATAGAAATTCAATAGAATTTTCTAACGAATTCGATAGGTTTTTCTATTAAATTTTTTCGTGCGTGATGTTCATTATTTAGAAATGAAATAGACAAAATGCACCAAATGCATGCGCTAACATGCGCTTATATGGAATAGGGTTATTCAAATATTTCCTCTTTTTGCCCGGGCACCTCAGATTTTTCTCTGGCCATTGGATTCAGTATGATTTTACACATCACCTCCTATTTTTATTTCTATTTTTAGAGTCTTCTAGTAGGTGAATTATCAAATTAAACATAAATTTCATAAGAGCCCGTGTATAAGGAAAAATTAGTTTATTCATTTCTGCCGAGACTATTGCGATTAATTTTTAGTTAACATTAGAAAAGTTAGTTTTATACATGTTCTGCTGTCAGCCGAAAAAAATTTTGGCTTTACCAGAAAAAATGGAAAAAAACACCAAATTCATCAGAGAAAGGTAGACTTTTTTGAGCCCATTAAATTTTCCCTTCCTTCCGATACAATTTTCACAAGGAATGTGAAAATTCCATTCTTCACAGCTAAATTCTTCAAATTCATGTCAGAGTATAAATTATTTCTATTCATCGAGACACAGAAAAAATTGGCAAATTATCCATAATCGTAATTTGACCCTTCGCGGCCGCAAGATCGCGGACACTCGACGCACATGTAAAAAAATCGCCGTAAAGAAAGATAAAAAAAAGTTGCATGTGTGATCAACGACTAGACGGTTCACGTTACAATTTCTGTTTCGTCGACAAACATCGCTGGATAATTATTATATAAGTCACGATATTTGTCACGTGCAGCTGACATTGAGAGATCTATTCGGCAAAGCGTGACAGTCGTGACATTCTACGTGTCACAAAAAATATGCCGAAGGACTCGGTTATGAGCATCCGGATTTCATCAACTTCCAAGGACTTGAGAAAATAATCGAAATGTCTCCCGTCGATTTCGAAAAAACGGACGCAATTTATTCAATTCACGATGTTCACGGAAAAAAAATTGAATGAAAATTACCAGAAAAAAAAACGTAAAAATTACATTTCGAAACGTAATCCGCGAGCGCAGTAAAATTCAATAAAAAGTGTCAGTTGGAACTGAAATTGTACAAATCGCCATATAAATTCTACAATTTGTTCCGTAAAAATTAACCACCCGTCTGATGACTCACCGCTGTGGGGACAACAAGTCGTTCCGTAATTTTTCCCCAGCGATTGAAATATTTTACGGAACGGAAAGTAGAAATAACTCACCAGCTTCATAAAAATTGTTGAACGTTCAAGAATTTTTGATTTTGGAGGCATAATAAGTCGGGAAGTTTCTGTAAGATTTTACTTCTTCGGAAAAAATTGCGTGACAATTTCGTACTTTGTTCGGTGAT